TGATGTATTCTGTGATGCAGTCAGTCATGTTATTGATGTCCTCTCCATGTGGCACACAAAGCACGTCCCAGTCAGTGGTCTCGAAGCAGTCCTGTAGAGCCTCATTAGCCACTGGAGTCCATTTCCTCACAGTCCTGGTGGATACAGGCTGCCTCTGCACCAGAGGGACATATTTAGGAGCCAAAAAGACGAGGTTGTGGTCAGATCTGCCCAGGGGGGGGAGGGCAGTGGCACAATATGCATTCTTGGTATTAGCATATAAAAGATCCAGAGTATTATTTCCCCTGGTGGGGCATTTCACATACTGAGTGAATGTAGGCAGAGATTTGTCCAGTTTTGCATGGTTAAAATCCCCAGTTATTGTGATGAAAGCATTTGGGTGAAGAGTTTGGAGTTTGGCCACAGAGGAGTGAATGACGTCACCAGCCACCTCCGCGTCCGCGTTCGGTGGAATGTAGACAGCAACTACGATGACAGAATAAAGTTCTCTAGGTAGATAAAATGGACGTAATCCCACGGCTAGCAGTTCAATGTCCGGGCTACAGAAACGCTCCTTCACAGTAACATGTCCAGGATTACACCATCGTTCGTTCACATACAGTGCAATCCCTCCTCCTTTCTTTTTTCCGCTCAGAATAACGTCCCTGTCCGCCCGAACACTCGTGAAGCCGGGGAGAGCCGTGTTATTATCCGGGATGAGCGTGTGCAACCAAGTCTCGGTAAAACACATGATGCTACACTCACGGTATTCCCACTGCGTCTTCGTCAGCACGCGGAGCTCGTCCATCTTATTCCCCAAAGACCTCACGTTCCCCATTATAATGGCCGGTACACAGGGTTTGTATCTCATCTTCTTCTTCATCCTCAGCTTGGCCCCAGCTCTGCAGCCCCGCTTAAGCCTCCGAAGCTCCTCCGGGATGTCATGCCTGGCTCCGGGCAGCAGCACGGGTCGGCACAGCGCAATCAGCTGCTCACGAGAGTAAACAATGCCATCACTCCTCAGAGCATGGCTCTCCAACACAAAAAGTGAAAAAAGTAGCAGAAGAATGACCAGAAAACGTTCGAAATAAAACGTGGCCATAGTTCGCTGCAAGACAAAATAAATATCCAAAGAAAAAAGTAAAACTAAGAGAATAAAAGTAAACAAAAAGACAAAGATCAATAAAACACCGGGAGCTGCAAGCAACAGGCAGCCACCAGCACGGCGCCTAATAGCTAATGAAATCTAGCTAGCTAGCTATTGTCAGCCGTCCCCGCTATGAACACGTTTTGACTTGTGAAGAAGTGTGCAATGTTCTGTAATTTGCTTCACTAACTCATGGCACTAATCGTGTGTTTCAGGCGAGGTGTTTCTCTCAGGATTAGAAACTAGTTTTCCCCTCCGGGATAAAACGATAATATAACGTTAGCAATTAGCATGCTAGCTGGACATAATGCTACCTTAACAATACATTGTAGTTGCTATAATTTCAAGTCATTTGCAACATTCATTCTACATGTTAATGGTAAAAGCTTAAACAGTTGATTACCTGCATGCCACAAAGACTGATGTTCTAATATTTTTGCACATTTAAGTAGAAATGTAATTGAAATTCTATTTATTTTTCCTTTTTTTTATTGATTGTTATAATTGTACTCAGCCATGTTATGTTAGATGTCAATCCACTTACACTGTAACTACTCCTTGAAAGAAGGTTACACATCTAACTGATGTCCACTAATCCCTATAAAACAAAGTTCAAGCATACATTAAGCACAAAACAATACATTTTGTACACTGTCCCTGCCTGCACCATGTCCAATGTTGGACAATGTTGTCTCGTTGTTGCGATTAAACTGATCTTGCATATTTCACCTTATGAAAGTGGGCACGCGATGACAGCTTCCTTGACACCATCATGGCGATGGACCGCCGTGCCATGGTCAGCAAGGAGAATGAGGACCTGCGTGCCAAGGAGATGCACGACGAACGGCTGCTGCATTCACACAAGGCCCAGGAATCGGACGACTAGCTGCTCATGGTGCCAGGTGGAGCAACAAAATACCTTTCAGGCTGGGCTTCTGGCAGTGCTAAGCGAGCTGATTAAATCCAACAGGCCTTCAATACAAAAATTAAGAAAAACTTGTCGTCGTTGATAAACTGTACAATGACTTGTTGGGAGGCGTGTGGTGCAGTGGTCTGGTGCGTTGGTGTTCGGATCAGGGGAGCACAGGTTCAAACCCCACTGCAGTCAGGATGTCGTTGTGTCCCTGGGCAAGACACTTCACCCCAAATTGCCTACACCTGGGACAGTTAATTTTGTATTATTGTGATTATATATATATGCCACTGTTATTAATACTGACACCTAACTTTGCACTAAGGTGTGTCTGCTGCTGAGCCTACCTATTGTTATTATATATATATATATTGCCACTGTTATTATATTGTTTTGATACTACTGACACTTATTGATCTGCTGCTGATAAATAAAAGAGAACCTACATGCACAGCACTAGCATCATGACTGTCTTTGTTTAAACCAGCAGCAGTGCAGCGGTACACAGACTAACCTGTGTGTGTGTAACGTAGTTCTTCAGATGTGTATGCTTAACATGTATGTATTTATCACAGTAAAGATGGTATACAAAAGCTTTTTAAAGAGCTTTCAACCTCATCCCATTGTCTTTAACACACATTTAACATAATAATATACTCATATTAATATACAAATATACAGTATGAGTACTGTTTTGATACTGACATTTAATCTTTGCACTAAGGTGTGTCTGCACTATTGTAATTGTGTCTGTTGACTGTGGTAAATAAAAGAGAGAACTAAATGCACTGTACAAAAGATCAGCTTTATTGTCAATTTACAATTTCCATGCTGTTCAGATGCCTCAAGGGCTGTGCGCGTGTCTTGCCCCGCGGCGATTTTTTTAGGTTGCGTCTCCCCAACGTTGCTTCCAGGCGAATACAGAGGAGTTGAAAAGATCCACTGCACATTGGTGTACGTTGGCAGTGCACCACCTTCTCCCATCAGGCCGAGGTTCTATTGTTCACCCAGAGAGAGCGCGGGACACGACTCGTTCCGTAGTATTCGCATATCTGGAATACATACAAAGACACAAATTAGCCCTACATAACTCCATAAATCCTACATTAGATAGTATTAATGTGATTTAATGAACGTACCATTGCTGTTCTTTGGGCGTGATAACGGTCATCATGCTCAGCTGTCCTACGGCGCAACATGTCCATAGCGTGTGCTTTTCGTGGTCCAATCCTTTTGTTAAGGCTTCTTAACCGCCTTCGCCTCCGACTCAGCATTTCTATTGCATTTGAATGGTCGATCTGTATTTTTATTTGTGGCTGAGTTATTGGCTTAAATAACTCAGTTACGAAGCTGTATAACACGACTACCAAAACGTCAACTCCATACCGTGTCTGAGGTCGGAAGGTAAACAGAAGCATACAGCGGAAGCGGAAGTTTTTTTTCTTCTTCTTCTCTCGCTTTTTTGGCGAATTGCAACTTTAAGGTGCATACCGCCACCTACTGTACTCGCCGTGAAGTTGTTTGCGGCCTGCCAGTAAACCCAAAGCAGAAGAAGAAGAAGTGACGTCAGCGGCTCATTTGCCTAATCCACCCCCAGGAACTCATTTTGTTGTGAACGCGATATGCTTTAGTTCATCAGAACTAAAAGAGCTCTCATGAACTAAAGTTCTCATGAACTACTGTGGGAAAAGTACTTGGTGTGAACGCCCCTTTAGAGGCCTTTTGGAGACGCCGTGGACCTCCAACAGGACAGTAGTCGGATCCCAGGAAAGGGTTAGAGGCTTGAGAAAAGTTTCCAGGACTACTTGTAAAAAGTTGTAGCCACTCGGGCAACAAACCCCTGAGCCAGGGCTTGCGAGCAACCTCCTGGCGTGCCTCCTTCAAAGCAGCCACTCTACCCCGTATAGATGTGGCGTCATACCAGGTATAAAAAAGGTACTCTAGAGAGTACCCAAGACGTTCCGCCTGTAGCAACAAAAAATCTGAATCTGCTGAGTCCATTTCTGGTCGGTTCATTCTGTTAGGTTTGAGGAAATTGGACCCAAGTGCAGTTAAAAAATACAAAAAGGTTTGTTAACAAAAAGCGGGCTTTATTATCAAAAGCTGAAGGCATGAAAAAACAAGGAACTAATAAACAGAAACAAAACCGGGGAACACGACAGACAGGAACAAACTTACAGACGGGAACAGGCAGGAGACATGGACAAGACGACAGGTAGCAGGGACATGAAATGACGACGAACAGACACACCAGGGAAACTAATGACAGGAAGGCAAACACAGGAAGAAGGAACAGAGAAGACACAAGGAGGAAAACATTTCAAAACAAAGGTGGAAAATGAAAACATAAATACAAAACCGTAACAATATCAATAAATGAGATAAAACAGCAATGCAGGCAACGGACTAAAATATAAATGAAATACACTAGTACATCTATACATAGTACAAGTATATCCCATCCATACTATATCTAATACAAATAAATAAACATAATCAACCAAATAAATACAAAGGATAAACATACAAAAATAATATTCAACACAGCAACATGTATTTTTGATGTTTTTTCTTGCAAATGAAGCATTTTGAAAGTGATAAGAAAAGATGAGGAGTGTTCCACTTTTCTTTAAATACACAACTATCAGACAATATTATGAATAATTTTTGTGTAAGCTTAATGTGAACTGCCTATCTAAGGAACACAGTATTTCTGAGCATTTGCTTTTAAGGTAAATCTCCAGGAATCCCCTTATTGTAGCATCCAGCCCAGTCACGTGAAACGCGTGGAGGCTTTCTATTTGCTTAGAGTTTTTGCAGCCTTTAGTTGCCAGGTAACACTGCACTTTAGGCATTTCAGGAATTGTAGTCCAAATAAGGTCGCCTCCTCCTTACTGATAACACATGGTCTGAGAGAAGAAACTACGTATCCCAGAATGCACGGCTTGAGGAAGTGCCCTCCCATTTTGAGCACATGACTTGTGGTACTCCAGTGAGCCACAACAACAGTAACATTTGTTCGGTTAATGTGTTGTCTAGCTAGTGTTTCATATTCTATCGTTTGCTTGTTATTTAAAAAATGAAGCTGCCATGTTTAGTTGTTGCTCTGTGCTTCGGAGTAGGTGTAATGGCCGGGAAATACTCACGCGACGTGAACGAGCCCAAGTCTAGTGATGGGCAGAAGCTGGAATTTAGGATAGCTAAATTGGACCAGGTGTGGAACAAGGCTAACAGGGTACGTATATTTCAGAAACTATTATCTGTACTGTTAATGTGAAGCTGTAGCAAACTGCTGACACTGCCAGTCGCAGCACGTTTACAGTGTAGCTGCCAGTGAGTTAACAGAGTAACCTAGCTAACGCTGGCTACTGCCGCGCCCGTCTTCTCTGTAACGCTGCAGTACAGTTGTAATATGTAGTTGACTTAATGAAGATATAGCCTTACGTTTTAATAAGATAGTGAGATGCACTTTTACTTTACACAAATGCTTAGGCTCAAGTGCACATTATGGACTCTGTCTTTGTTTGTTGTGGTGGTAGTTAGGAGTGTGTGTGTGAGTGTGAGTGTGTGTGTGTGTGTGTGTGTGTGTGTGTGTGTGTGTGTGTGTGTGTGTGTGTGTGTGTGTGTGTGTGTGTGTGTGTGTGTGTGTGTGTGTGTGTGTGTGTGTGTGTGTGTGTGTGTGTGTTCATATACAGAATTTAAAGAGTCAATTATGTGCCCTCCTTGTCACCCATTTAGTGGTTCACAAAAGAAGACTGTAGTATGCTATTTAAAGTAATAATGACTATAACAAACTGTTCAAGAAAAAACAGAGTGAGTGTGATTTCTTTAAGAGAGCCTTTTCTTAAAATGGTAAGACCAATTTCACACTTTGAGAAATCACTGTCTGGTTTTCTTCCTATCTTACCCTTCACTGTCAAATTAGTTTTCCACTTTTGTCTTACCAAAGTTTATGTTGTCTCTTATTCTCCTTTTGTTCATGGCAGATGCAGCTCTCCCCGGTGCGGCAGTCCGAGCTGCACAGTGATCTGAAGATCCAGGAGAAAGATGAGCTGCAGTGGAAGAAGCTGAAAGTGGAGGGGCTGGATGAAAACGGAGAGAAAGAGGCCCAGCTCCGACGTAACTTTAATGGTGAGACAGCTCAATGAAGTAAAAAGCATTGCAAATGAGAAAGTAATGCTAATGCCTACCTTAAAAATATGCAGTATTAATAATATCTCATTGTATCAAGAGGCTCCAGTCTGTCTGTGCTCTTCCAAACATAGAAAAGGTTAAGACAGTGGATATTCTCTCTTGTGTGAAACCTCATTAGTGTTGTGGTTTACATATAAAGCCACTCGCCTAAAAAGATCATTTTTTTCAGCAGATTGAGGTGAGTTTTATTTTAGTCAAAGCACAAAGCTTGTGAATCTTCAACAACAGGATAGTTAATCATAAAGGGTAAATAATAATGGGACAAAACGGCATAACAAGGAATACAGAGTTCGTTAGTGTGGTTTGTGTAATTAACTCTGCCCTTTGGCTGACAGTATAGATAATGTATTACTTTGGTGCTGCTGCATCAGCCAAAAAGAAGAACTATAATTCCTCATCCCTGTCAAAGATAGGCTGTTGGCAAGGCCTCTTTACAAGAGCTCCTTCTGAAACTGGAGCATATATATTCAGCATGTGTAGATAGAGTATGTATGAAACATTGGCAATGAAACATTGATATATACATTTGATTGGTATTATTTCAAAAATATTTTACTCTAAAGCAGGGGTGTCCAAACTGTTTTCACCGAGGGCCAAGTTATTGGGCTTTTTTTTCTCAACTAAGATTTGTTAGAAAATGTTTTCAACTTTAATTGACTGAATTTATTTAAAAAAATTGGTTCAACTAACACATGCATGCTACTGTGTAATATATGTTTTTATATATTTAAGAAGTACAATATAAGAAGTACGAGTTATATGTGTGGGCCATATTCCATTATACTTTAGAATATGCTGTGGGTTAATTAAAAATGGACAACGGGAGGCATTTGGCCCCGAGCCATAGTTTGGACACCCCTGCTCTAAAGTTACCCAGTTAATAGAAATGTTATTGAAATTGCGAAACGGACTAGTGCAATATCCAAATTGCATTAAACGCAATATTTGGTAATCACAAAAATACAATTTCTGTCCTTATGAAAAATGATTGGGGCTGCAGGGAAGTCCCAAATTCCCCAAGGTATTCTTCAGACTTCATATAAACCTTTTTTTGTTATAGAGCTTCTTAAGAAAACAAAACACCTTGATCATTTTAATATATATTTGTAATGATAATGTAAATAACGTTTCAAATCATATGGCATTTGCAGTTAAAATATTCAAGAATATTTGCTATTAGTTATTCTTTCCAAATCATGCAGCCCTATCCTAATGATCCTGCGGGATAGAAATGTTCAATTGGGAATGAAGCGGGTAAAGCACCAAGCATTGTCACTCCAGGCAGCAGCAGGGTCGCCCTCTGCTCCTCTGTAGTTAAATATGAACCTTCAAGGGGGGCCTCCAGTCACCTTCTCCCCACCGGATCCTACTAGAGTCGGTCTAATTGGGCTCTTCTGTCTCTCCATATTTTTATTTTCCTAACGCTGCTCCTTGATTCTCTATCACTAGAGACAAACTCTGACACCTGGCATTAAACTGCTCCGGGATGCTTGTTTTATTGTTTACACTTGGGTCGAAAGCCTCGTAAAATCCAATGTATACAAGCTTGCCAGTAGTGCACAGACTGTCTACAGGTTTGTGCATCCTGTTTATGAGGATTTTAAACGAGCCCCTGCCTCTGGAAACGATCTAATGAAGTAGAAGTAGTTAATAAGTGACATTCATGCTTGAGATGGAGCTGAATCGGAGGTCGCAAAAACTGTTTACCAGAGCAGAATAATGAGGGCAGAGCTTGTTCAGAGCAAAGTCCAAATCTGTATTGTTGTGAAGCGGGCGGAAATATTTAGAGGACAAGACTGCTTTTATATTGCACATAACTGACAATATTAAAGTGATTGGCTACGGAGTAATATTATCCTTTACCTCCCCTCAAAAATGAGTCTACCAAAGTTTTTAGAATGCATTTCAAATCATATTTTGTCTTCTTTTGTTTTTCCTATTTTATTCAGGCTTCATTCAAAGTTTTGGGGTTAAGTACGGAGTTCTGTTGAGTTTGTAAGCGGGAGGGTAAATGAGTGTTTTCCCTTTGTTTCAGTTCTCATCATCAACGGTTTTCAGGTTAAGAGCAGCACTACAAAACCCATGGATAAAACCACCTCCTCTGTGCTGCTTATGTCAAGAGCAAAGTGAAGTTGGTTTTGTTTTCATAAGCTCCCGCTAGATTCCCATCCTGTTATTTTCAGCAGTTGCTTCATTAAAGATACGACTCCCCTTGCGGTTCTTTAAAAAAAAGACTTGGTGACTTGTAAATGAATGAGTGGCTGTCGATGGTTGTGGGCCTCCAGGTAGTTTTTGATAGTCACTTAGCTTATCTTACTTAACAGTTTCCCGTCATGACAGCCTGAACTCCAAACAGGCTCGCATCAGGCTCATTCATAAAAGCATGTCTTTGTTAAATGTCTGTGTTGTGTTATGTAGTGATTCTGGCCAAGTATGGGATGGATGGCAAAAGAGACACTCGATCACTGGAGAGCAACCACCTGAAGGACCACGACATCAAAGAGGGAGACACATTTGAAGATCCCAGGCTAGACAAACTCTGGAACAAGGTGCGTATGTGTGCAGAGGGAGGAGGAAGAGAAATGTTCAAGTATGTTTTGGGAATGATGCATTTTTCTGTTGTGGCATTGTGAGGCTCTTTACTTCATGTTTCTGCTGGTAAATACAAATCTGAAACAGATTAAATTAAGACATGCCCCTCGAATCAGCTCAAAAATAATTGTACCTCTATTCAACAATGAACTGAATTCTTAACAGGGCACTCACACAGCAGCACTAGAAGGTTTTTAATTCAACCCTTACAATTGCACAGTAACTGCACTGGCAGCTATGTGACAGGCCTAGTTAGAAAAAGAAAATGGAGAACTGTACTGGTGTACTGCAGCTTAATAAGAATTCCCCTTATTACGTGTTTCTAGTGTGAAGTTCCTTAAGGACCAGAGCAGAGGCAATCTTTGGTGACAACTTTTTAGTTTTTAGACCAATTGTTCAAAAACTATTTCTACGTCTTTGTAGTTGTGTGCCTACCAGTCAGTTCAAAATGTCATCAGTTCATCATTTCCCCCCATGATATGTTTGTGTGAAGGTGACATTGACTTTATGACAATTGTAATGAGTTCGTCAATTTGACATTTGTGCCAAACATGGTTACGTAACAGCTAATTATATCTATTGTTAGCCCGTAGTGAAGCATACATCTAGGATACAGAAACTGCTTCACCAAACGGTGCAGGGTGGCCACTGTTCATCTCTCTCACACATGACGCATATATACTGTATTTGTGCACACACACACACACACACACACACACACACACACCGAGTGGGGGAGTAACAAAGAGTGTCAGTCGCCTCTCACCCATCACTCATTCAGTGTGAGTAATTAAGAGAAACGGAAGCTAAGACCATTTATTTGTTTGATCTCCTGGGGAAGTAAAATATCTGCAGCAGTTCAGTCTTTAAGCCCGAGTCCTTTATTCTCTTCCCGTTCAGTTAGGAGTACTTTACAATGTCAAGCATGTACCTACCTGTGGATTTTCTCCCTAGCCTCCTGGGCCCTTGAAGTCTCGGTACCCAAAGTCAATTGTCGATTCAAATGCCACAAAGAGGGTGACAACAAAATATGCCCTCATCATTTGCTGAAACTTGCACCCATTATTTACTTATATTGTCCCTACACCAACAAAATGTGCAGTTAGTACATTATATATTACAGCGATAGTTCATAAAAACAAATTATCTCATGAGTATGCCCATAAAGAAGTTATTAAATAGAATGTAGCTTCTAAAATCATATAAACCTGGCTTTGTCCCTCTATTATACCTCCATCGCTGCATTCAGTGCCCTGGACGGCGGCGCACACACACACACCCTCAGTCTACACACACACACGACAAACATCATTATCCTCCTTTTTTATTGGCTGTTTAGGATTTTGCAAGGATAATGCATATTTTAATAACTAAGAAACCAACAACACTACATTTAAAATACTACATTAGCTACCAGGCAGCGGTCAAACCTAAGAATGTGGAAAATAACTTGTAGTATAGTATGTAATACATCAAAAATCATATTATAGTATTCAATAAAAAAAAGTTGGATGGACGTACAGATTTGAGGACAGTCATATGGAAACGCTATGCTTATGTTTTACAGGCCATTAACAAATGAATGAAATCATCTCTGACCAATTTAAATGTTGGAGTATAATTCAAATGTTTCGGCCAGTTTCCCTTTATGCAAACATCAAATCTTTTTTTGGAGAATATGCTTTTAAGAAAGTTTGACATATGCAATATATTAAGTGTAAAATGGTATTGTGGTTTTCTCGTGTCCTGACAGTCCATTGACTTTAACGATTGTCAAATTATTATTATTTATATACTATTTTTACATCAATATTTTTAACTATGTATTCCCCCGTATGATTGTTTATGTTGTCTGTCCTATTGCCGTGTTTTTTAGTGTTATGTATGTGTTTGCATGTTTTGCACACTGGGACAGAGTTCCACTCTGAATCTCGTTGTACTCTGTGTATAATGACAATAAAAGGCTTTAACTTTAACTTTTTTTTTAACTAAATATGTTTATTCTATAGTGCTGTATTTCATGCCATCTAAACCCTATGAAACATCTAGCAGAGGAGTTGTGCCTAAACATGTCCGTTACTCCCTGCCTCTGACACTAACTCCTCTCCGACCGTCCCCTCCTCCAGGCCAAGACCTCGGGGAAGTTCTCAAGCGAGGAGATGATGAGTCTGAAGAGGGAGTTCCAGCACCACAAGGACAAGACGCACGAGTACAACATCCTGATGGACACCATCAGCAGGACGGAGGGTGAGCTGCGTCAATCACTCCCTTTGAGTCACAGTTTGTTATATCAGTGTTTCTTTAAGACACATTTAAGCACCCTTAATCTCTTTGCCATTCATCACTTTATGGTTTTTAATTCAGCCATTATTATGGTAAGTTTATCATTTGCATATTCATTAAAACATGGAGAATTTGGTTGCACATTTCTTTCTTTTTTTCTTTTTTTCTCATACTGATATTTTGAACAAACTGTGCTGTTGTATTAGCTGTAAAATGTCTTTACTGTAGGGTATTTTTATTATTTGTACAGCACTTTGGCTCGACCAAATCGTTTATAAATGTGCTATATAAATAAAACTTGACTTGATTTGAAATTGAGACGATTCTAGCTTTCAGTTCAGCTTCCAAAGCAAATGGATGCAAAAAAAGAAGATTATTTGGCTCTTATCAATTCCGCTCTCAGTCATCCAACAATCAGTCCCAAGTCTGATTCGTCTCCGTCTGTGCGTTCAGTCTTGTGGTCATGTCCGTAGGTGGAAGGCGTCGCGCTGCACTCAGGTCTGCCTACCGCTCTGTGCTTGTCACAACACATCAAGCAGAGTTTTCAGCGGATCAGATAGGCCCTGTTGTGTTTGAGGAAGACGCGGGGAGGACAGGCACGTCTTCCTCTGACGGGCCTGTCACTCTGCAGCTGCTTCCTGTCAGAACTTTGCTGCTCCCGCTCCACAGCCTCTCCTCTGTGCACAAGCCAGGGGTGTTTTTCTGCCTGTCTGGTGTATTTAAATATAGAGCCCATCACATGTTGCTTTGAGGCTATGTGCACCTGCACAACACCACCTCCTCTTCCACCCACGCACACTTTCACTGCCTTCCCCAGTCTTTGTATTGTCTTGTTTCTGTCTTTTGATCTATATGCCAACCGCTGTCTGGTTGACCTGTGTCCTCTTTTCATCTCCTCACCTTTTCTTAAGGTGAGACGGGCAGCTATTTCATGAACACTGTCATAAGATCAAATGTAAAGGCTACTCAAAGTTCTCATGGAAAAATAAATGTGATGTGTGTGTATATATATATACATATAATAATATATATATATATATACATATATATAATATATATATATATATATATATATATATATATATATATATATATATATATATATATATATATATATATATATAATATATATATATATATGTAAACACTTTTACACCTTTTTATAGCTACTACTAAACCCTACTTATTAAATTCAGTTTTTCTTTGGCACTTTTATGTTTTTATTTCCTTCTTTCCTTCTCTTTGTTTTCTTTTGGATTTCTTGGTTCATGCCTCTTTAATTTCCTTTCCTCGTCTCCTCTGACCTTGCTCTTATCCACCCTACCCAACCAACTTGTGGCCTAACTGTCAAGTAATTTTTTGTAATCTTATTCTTATCTATTTATATACATTTTAAATGAATATTTTCAAACATTTGATGGTGTGTGGGAGAGAAACTCTCTCTGGAGGGAACTTTGGGATTTTGGACTTTTCAGACCATTTATGGCGCATTTCCACTGCAGCGCGTAGCACGGTTTAAGCGTGCCGTGCCAAACCCGGCCCGTTTTTGTTGCGTTTCCACTAGGGGTAGTTCCGGCTAACGGGTACTTTTTCACAGTTTTTCTGGCCCTCTAAAATGGTGGTTCCTTCCGGGCCAACAACCGGGCTGAATATGCTAAACAAGTGACGCCAAGGGGGCTACAACTACAACAAAATGAACATATTTGACCGTGATTTAATTGTAATACACGTTTCAAAATGATGCCGAAGTAACAACATACTGATACCGGTTAGTAAAAACCATGAATTAATGCTTTGTCAAGTCTGCAGACAGACGGCAGGCGAAAAACCTTTTAAAATGCGTGTTGTCTAAATGGAGATCGGCTAAGCTAACGCAGTATATGCTCCGACCGTCCACACTCACAACAACGGCCTATACAGACATAAATAAAGCAGCGACTGTATTCACCATGACACAGGCAGTCTGTGGTTTGTACTTGTTTAACTTTTGTCTAGTTTCTGAACATATATGAGGAGCTGTGAGCTTGAGTGCTAACAGCTAACGGCTGATGTTGGTTTTGTGGTTTGCATTGAAGATGATGTCACGGCTCCGCCTACACTGCGTTACTATAGTTACTGCCCCAGCTACTAAACTGTAATGGAAACGCAGCATAAAGTGAGCCTGGCCTACCGAGGCCTAACTATACCGTACTAAGCCGTGCGAGGCCCTGCAGTGGAAATGGGCCATAACATGCACAAAAACCCCACTACAGGAAAGGGAAACCCCCCCCCAAAAACAATAGTCCCCCTTTAAGAGGTCACACCAGGCAGATAGTAACAGCTGTGATGTCCATCTTCATCTTTGTGGCGCCTTTGTTTTTGGAGTGTGCACATTCATTGTTCATGGTTCATTTCAGGCAGTGTATTACCAGGCTAAGGATCAGTTAATATGCAGACCTGAGAAAAGATCTGCAGAACGGATGGTGGCATACTATGGGACTGCATACTTATTTGCTTGTAATTTCACACTAACCTGCCCTTGCACCTCCTCTCCCCTCTTTTCCTTGGTCTGTTCGCCTCAGAAGAAATCCACAAGAATGAGATCTCTGCTCTGGAGGGCGACACCAAGGAGCACGTGCTGCACCAGAAGCACTCGGACCTGAAGCAGAAGATGAGTAACCTGAACCAGGGCTTCGAGCGCCTCCGCAAGATCAGCCGCGAAGGCTTCTCTACAGACAGCGGTGAGGGAGACCCCACACACACACACACACACACACACACACACACACACACACACACAGTCTTTTTATTAATCTTAGTCTGTGTTTATCCCATCAGCTTAATCACTGGGATTTGTAGTCATAATAAGACTCTGCTGTGTCACAGTTGGCGAGCGTTGAAATGCTAACGGCTTAACTTCAGTGATTCCAGCCCTCCTAGCCTCATCCGTCCACTTGTGTAAACTAGCTAAAGCTTGTCCGTGTGCTATTTAACTCAGAGAAGACTCTACTTCCATTATGAAATGTTTTATTGTTGTAGTGTTTTATCTTTCACATTCTGCTGGTGTGTTGTGGTTGAGTGTACTGCAGTATGTGTGTGTGTCTCAGTTGTGCAGGCTTTGTAGAGAGTTTAGATGAAGGTGGTGTACCTGCTCCTGACTCGTTCACTTCCTCTCCTTTAAATCCCCTCCAGGGTGCTTCTCCCTCTACCACTAGTTCTAATCCCCCCTTACTTCCTGCCACCTCTTCAAAGCAAGTTGTCTCCCTCTGGTTCTGTTACACATCTTACAATTCTGTGACAGCAGGGATGAGAATGAAAGCAGCTTTCCCTCTTTATATTGTGTATACATATATAGACAATTATTACAGGGACCCTGTTGTGCTTTTTGTGGTTGACCCTTTCCTGTAGTGTCTTGTATAGGTTTGTGTGCATGTAAATGGTCATCAAAGTTCCCCCCTTTTTGAACATTAAAGCATGTAAGCAATGTCACAGTAGAGGCACAAAATACTAATATGAACCTGAAAATGCAAATAACAGGACCCCTATAAGCTACTAAGCTCGTTCTGTTGTTGTATTTTAGAAAGCTCCTTCTCTCTCGGGTGTGTGTAAAGTATTAGTGAGCCTCCAAACTCTCTTGAACTGTTAAACTCTTCATCTTTGTTTCTGTCTGTCCTCTGCAGAGTTCCGGGAGCCCCGTGTGATTGAACTGTGGGAGGCGGCCAAGAGAGCAAACCTCAGCGACAACGAGCTGGACTCTCTCAAGGTAAATATCTCAGTGCTGATGCACTGATTTGTTTCACACTAACACTTTTTGTTTTACCTTTTGAGTGCTACAATCTAACTTTTGTAGTGCACTTGGTAACTAAGCACTACTTTTGTATGTATGGTAAGCCCAAAGGGTACACATTACTAGCCCATATGCATTAGACATTACAAATTCCCAAGTATTCCACTCTCCTATGTGCTCCTTTCACCTTTTGTCCCATAAGCAGAGAATAGCCGTGAACGATTCAGTTTAAATATTTCATTTCAGGACCTCTGGCTTCAAAATGTCACAGAAAAGATTCAGCTCAACTTTTCTCCGTAGCATTTCCTTTTATATTCACTACTTGAGATGCATATCGGCTCCCCTGTGCAGCTGTGCATGTAATTGAAGGTGAACTGAACTCGCCTCTCTGTGTTCGCCGCCCCGCTTTTCCTCGTTCACTTAGGAGGAGCTGCGTCACTTTGAGACGAAGGTGGAGAAGCACAGCCACTACCAGGAGCAGCTGGAGCTCTCCCACCAGAAGCTGCAGCACGTGGAGTCTCTAGGAGACAAGGAGCACATCAAGAGGAACCAGGAGAAGTACAACACCATCGCTGAGAAGACCAGGGAGATGGGTTACAAGGTACGTTTGTTTGTAAGCTCTACATTCTGCCATCTAACAGTTGCTGTCTGTGTGCCTGCAAAGTATCGATTAATGTTGCAAAATGGCCGAGGTATAAAACACTGCTATAATACTGAGGAAGAGATACAACAAATACAGGACAAAGGATATTGTTCCTGTTGTAAAAGAGCAGTCTCTTGATTCTTGTTTGAGTTGCAACAACTATTGATAACAAACAAAAGGCTGTATGAGTTTTGATCAAACCTCACACAAAAAAATAGTATGTTAATACTTCCACATTATATCAACAAATGCTTGTACTATACTATAATTCTGGTGTAAAGCATGCATCTTAATTAGTGATAAATCAGTATTCATCATTTGTGTTTTAGCACACTAAGAATGCCCAAATGGATTGTCAAACATGGTCAAAATGAGCAATGGTGTCATTTTATTATTTATTATACCAGCTAATGTTTAAATGTGTCAGCCTGGTATTCATTTTGGAATACAGCTAATGGTTTATGTAAAATATTGCATCTATATTGCATCTTTTATGGCGTGAAGATAACTGTTATCTTTATACCATTAAAGATCAAAAAGATGAATAATGTAGTATAAAGTAATTAAGGCCTCCCATTATATTAATTGAGTCGCTATTTACTATGAAAACAACTCAAATCCTAGATAGTAACACACAATTCTGATCCTCTGCATCATTGCAAAGGCAGAGTTTTTGTAAGCCCAGTAAAACAATCCACCCAAAGATCTGCAGGAATGTGCCTTGCAGTCAAATGGTGACGTCTGTATTCGTATTGTTTTTATTTCAGATGAAGAAACATATGCAGGACTTGTCCAACAAGATTTCTCGCGAGGGGCTGGAACACAACGAGCTCTGAGGATCAACAACTGAAACCATTCCCTCCACAACCACACGCAGCATTCCCCTTCATCTACTGTCCAAACAGATCAGGGTTTTCTACTCTTCTCGTGTTATACGTCCACTCTTCCCTTTTAATCACTGAATGAATGAAATGTTTGTACATAATATCAGTTTTTGTATGATTCAGCTGGATTTATTCAGGTGACAAACTAGTCCGATTATCAGTCACATAAAATAAAGATGAATTAGTTTACATACTAGTCTGTTACTACATGTATTTGTGCAACTAATGAGAGGTCTATGAGAAATGTCTGGCTGAAAAGGTGGCGTTGCTACCAGAAAGAAAAATTGTGTGTGGGTGTTTTGAGGTATGGACAGTCACTCTGACTGTCCATACCTCAAAACACCCACACACAATTTTTCCAGATGATGAAGTTTAGCTGCAGGACTACTTCATCTTGTATCGACAAACATTCATCTGCCATTATTTGTAAATCCTAAATCAGATAGACTGGTACTACTGTAGTAACTCATACCTAGGTGGACATATTCCTACATTAGCTGAAAAACAGTTGCTCCCTGGCATGGTCCGATCAATATCAAATGAAGAATGTTTTGCAGATTCAGGTAAGAAACCTGAACATTTAACAGCATTGTTTTAATAAGTGAGATACAGATGCTGTCAATATACAAAGAGTAATATCACAAAAATATACATTTATCGACGTGGCATAAATAAAAGCAGTTACTATTTACAAGTCGTGTAGAGGAGAGCAGCCCCTGTAGTGACTGTAAGAAGCTTTTTGGTGAAGTTTTTCAAACTCTTCCTCTTGTTTCTCCTCACGCTGCTGCTACAGCTACCATAAAAAGAAATTGGCGCCAAACATCGGACGATTTGTCATGATGATATCAGGAGGGAGGTGATCAACTGGAACACACACAATGCTTTTCCCTTCATCAATCCTGACCCGAAGCAGATATTGATTACTGTGATGAATAATGCTCCTGTCCTGCCTGGCCACACGGGCCTGTTTAATGTGATCTGCACCCAGACGTTACTCTAAACTGCTTATTTCAATCGAATGCTTTAAAACTCTGATGTGGAATGATAGCCGAGCTGGGACTCTTAACGCTCAATTGTAAGGCGCTTGATCTCGTTGATCTCTCACTTCTTGTGCAGAAACAACTGATCGAGCCACGCCCTCGCAGTCTGAAGAAATCTAAAAATAAATCCATCTCAACACATAAGAGATGCCAAGCATAGCTGCTCTCTCCTATCTGAATATCATATTAGTGGTAAACATTTGTGTTTGGATGCAATTCACTCAAAATTAAGGCTTTTATACCAACGCTCAACATTCACCTGAGAGGACTTAAAAAAAGCAGTTTATCCTCCTAACTCAGCAGATATTAAGTGCCATGCAACAAAAGGGAACAGTCCTTGGGTAAACGTCTTCCAGAAATTCAATAAATCACTCATTTAAAAATATAAGAACTTTAACATAACACTAAACACATCCAAGATGGCAGCTGCATTAGAGACTTCCCAGACATCTTTTTCTTAGTGGAATGGATTGTTTGTGACAGTATCTGTACACTGGCACAACTGTGGGTGTGTTAAGTACAACAATTTGTTTGATTAACTGCAATTAAGCACTTGAGCACTATTCAGAGAGATGCAGAGAATCGGCAGTGAAACTGTTTTGAAGTGAGTTGTGGCCGCTGCGAGTCAGTTTGGTGGCCCTCTCCAGCTGACTCAGCCTGTCCTCTCGGCCCTGAACATGCTCCGCCCCCACTCGCTGAGCTGTTTCCATGGCAGCGATGTCGAGGTGGGCGTACCTGATGGAGCCCTCTTCTGGTTCAGGACATCAGCGACAAAGGGGGAGAAAAGACAAGCCGTTGAACTGTGTTTCTACTTTGAATCAAGTGTTCTGTAAATTGAAGTTCAAATTCATCACATGCAGGAACACATCAATCATTGAGATGCATTGTGAATTAACTGAAACATACACAGTTTTTTAAGAACATTTTTTCAAGAGTATTGCTGGATTATAACTCTAAACCGTTAAGAAAAAGACCATTTTAAGGTACAATCTCGAGGGTCTCTGTTTTGTTCCCTTTGTGAATCTTTGAGATTATACCTTTAGGGTGCTCTCTTCAACTTGCCTATTCAGAGCTTAACATTTTAGGACATTTAAATTGTTGTAAATTGTTTTGTCACTTCTGTAAATTGCTTTTATTTTTATTTTTTATTTTTTACAGTCCAGTAACTGTGACTTTACAACATCAATTAGCACTAAGAGATGGTTTCATTCATGTGTGTTTTTCATGAATAAATGGGTTCTTCCTTTGCCTGCAGTGTAGTGACCAGTTGGGTCTTTTCTTTCTTGCAAAGAAAACTTTTATTTCTTCAAATAAAACCGACGGATATAGAGGTAAGCAGGATAATAAGCAGCAAAAGCAGAATGCTCTAAACCAAACCAAATGTAGGAGGAAGAGTGTTTTGTAGGTTTGTCTATTTCTGTGGTCGGGCATTTGAAGGAATTGGTAAACATGCTGATAATTAAAATGTGAAGGCTGTGTATGCTCAGAATGCGAAAAGAGGTGAAGCTGTGAGATGCAAAGGCTGACTAAAAGTCAATCCGATAGAAGCAGGAAAAGTCAGATCTGAGAGGTCTGGGTGTTCTTACTGGGTCTGCAGAGCTGCAAAGAGTTACCTCTGACAGCTGAGTGGGGGTCCTGCAGATCCAGCTCCGTGTAGAGCAGCTCTCTGTTAGTGCGAGCTGGCAGGGGGCTGATGGGGATGTTAACATAATTAACAGTGCTGTCAATATGGTGCCAACTTTCCAGGGATACCGACGGAGGAGCTTGGTGGGCAGACTGGATCATACCTGAAGGAGAATCAGAAAGGACAGCTGTTGAACTTATGATATGAGACCGGACGAGCACGATTAAGTGTCAGTGTGTAAACAATGAGTTACTCTTGATGGAAAAACACCAAGACAAATGTGACATAGGATGTTATATATTTGATAAGTGATTGTGTTACCCCAGGCTGATGTTGGTCTCATGGCCACAGGCGGAGGCGGGGGGGCAGAGGGTGGCCGAGAGGACCCCGGTCTTCTCGGACCTTCACACTTATCACCAACGACATCCTGCTCCTCTCTCACACAGAGAGGATGATCTGGTAACAAAGTTTTGAGATGCAAGTAAATTAAAGTACAAAGTGAAAAGAAAGTCATAGTTTAGTATTCTCAAAAATTAAAGTCATAAAAAAGTATGTCGGAAATAGTGTAGAATGTCGAAAAATAGGTCAAAGTGTAGGATGTCAAGAAAAGTTTAGAATTTAGAAAAATATCAGAAACAAATAATAGGATAGTACATTGAAGAAAAAAGTCTGCAAATAGTATGTCAAAATAGATCGTGTAGCATCTCCAAAATATCAGAAAAAAAGGGGCGTAAGTCGGTACCAAATTAATAAAATAGTTTGACAAAAATGTGGAAAAACGTAATAATATTGTTTGTCGAAAATATGTCCAAAGCATGAGAGAAATTAAGTAGTGCAGTAACTTGAAAGAATAGGGGGAAAAACGAGATAGTATAGCATGGGAAAATAAAATAGTGAAGAATGTCAAAAATATATCAGATATAAGAACATAACATAGTACTTCAAAACTATAGTATGGTACGTCGAAAAAGCAGGAAAAACCTATTATAGCATGTTGGAAAAAACTGGGTATGTTTGAAAATGTGAGAAAAAATGACAAACTGCATAGTAAAGTATATGTTGTAAATATGAGAAAGAAAAGCATAATATAGTACAGATCTACAAGAAAACGACATAGTATAGTATGTTTACAATTTTTGAAAAAACTGCATAGTATAGTGCGTCGAAAAATATCTAAAATAACATAGTATGTCAAAAATATTAGAAAAAACTACACGGGATATAATAATATAGTATGACAAAAAAGGTCATAGTTGAGTTTATCATGAAAAAGTCAATAATACAGTTTGTCCAAAACAGAAAGACATAGTATAGTTAAAAATGACATAGTATTTAATTAAGTAAATCATAGTACAGTATGCTGTAAAAAAGGTATGTATAGGTATATATATTAATCAAATTCACTGTGTTACTTTCCATCACTTATTAGACCCAGCCAAACTTGTTGCATTCACAAACACACCTTGTGTATCCGCAGAAGGTGAGGTTTTTGATGGTGATCTGGCAACCTAGAAAATGAATAACAAAACCATTATTTCATATCTTTTTGTATATGTATAACACTTTTCATGAATAAAGCGTAAAGAGTGTGTTATTTCTTATTTTAAAATGCTAAATAGTCCTGTTTTAAGCCTATAGAAGCTTATTTTTTACAACTCCTGGATCCAATAACACAACAAATTCTTACCTGACTCAAGCATCTGTTCCTCGCTGAACGCCACTGCTCTGGTGTAATGTAGTTGTCCAAACCATGACCGCACTAGAAAGAAAAGAGTTTAGCGTGTTAATTGAATTTATCCGAAACATTCAACGTTCATTGCTACAAAGAAAACATTTTCAAACTGGGGAGAAATTAGGTATGGAGAGGAGACAGACAGAGAGGCTTTGAAGAAGACTGATAAGTTAAACAAGGAAGAGCAAGGGCATGAGATGAAGGAAAACATTTTTGATATAGAGCCAAGATGACAGAACTGACATTTTGAGAGGTAGACAAAATAAAAGGCTGGCCTAGACATGAGACATATTTGACAACGTGTCCTAAGTTACCCTTTTTTCCTACTTCCCAATACAGCTAATATGCAGAAGGCTCGTGCCTCAGGAATATTTTGTCCCAAAGCACATAATACAACTTGTGGACTGGGGCATCGTCTCATTACCCGACATGAAGGATTCACGCTTTTTGCAACATTGAACTGCTGACACTACAGAGTTGAGAAATGACGAATAAAGGAACTCATTATTGTTTCATACAACAGGATTCTCCTCTCTGAAGGTTTCCGTCCGTTTCATCACTACTCATTAAACTTTCTCCGTCCCCTTTCACTCTCAATCTCTCTTCTCGGTATCAACATGATGTATAACGAACACACACACTCCTACACAAGCTGTCAGGACTCACAAGACACGCTGCTTCCACTCCTGCTCCTGATAATTCACTCACTACGAGGGAGGAATCGCTTTTCACAACCCATCAAAAAATAAATTAGATATAATGTGTTGAAATCTCTTCTGAGGGCTTTTGGGGTTTCAGACAAAGGTATCAAAGGAAATACAAAGCTGGCTCTGGATAGGTTTTTGATGTAAACCCACACCTAACTTTTTTTCTTGGTCTGGTGTTTGATTGTTGGACTGGAGGCTAAACAGCCCGTATGGAAGAAACAAGCTGTGATGGAAGCCTTCACATTACACTGCAGTACAGTATGAGTCGTGTATGGTCTTAAAAGCAAGTTTACAAATGTTTTGTACCTCCATATTATACCCAGAATAAATAGCACGTTTATTTTATGCAGAAATGATTGTGTTTACCGCTTTTCTGCCCCTGTGGTAAGCACTGCAGCTTTTTCAACATCCCCACGAGCCAGTGAGGCATTGACTATGAAACACAATCACAAAGGCACCCAAGAGAGTCATTAGCTTGAATTGCAAGCAGAAGTGTGTGTGTGTGTGTGTGTGTGTGTGTGTGTGTGTGTGTGTGTGTGTGTGTGTGTGTGTGTGTGTGTGTGTGTGTGTGTGTGAGAGTGTGTGTGTGTGTGTGTGTGTGTGTGTGTGTGTGTGTGTGTGTGTGTGTGTGTGTGTGTGTGTGTGTGTGTGTGTGTGTGTGTGTGTGTGTGTGTGTGTGAAGAGGCTGAATAATTGCTTCTGCAAAAATTCTTAAATATGGCAAGGGCAGAAGTTAAAATAACAGCTCAACAAAGCTGACTAAAACACACTTAATAGGCAATTTGCTGAACAAACTTCAAAGATTACCAAGTTTAGAAATACTCTCATTCAGTTAAACTAGAAACTAAACAAGCCTCAACAAATTAGTATTTAACTCAACCTTGATATGTATTTCACAGGATGCAGCTTACCAATACTGTCATGCTGAATACAGATTCTTATTTCAGGCCTTGTTGGGCAAAAGGATTTAAAGTGTTTTGAAAAGTTCGCCCTTGAAGCATTTAGAGGAAAATCTATCTTCAATAATTCAACACAGGGTGAGTAATTCATGTAGGCTACACATGATATCTTAGGAAGAAATTCCTTTATTTCTAAATGGAGGTTTTATATGGGCATTGAGCTATACATTCCAGATTTAGTCTTCTACAGTTTTAACCATGTTAGCAGCGTAGCTCTATGGTTCTTCTCTGACTGTCGACTGTTTTCCAAACTGAACAACACTGATTCTTTAACTTTCATCTAGGCCCGTCATCATGCTAACATGCTAAACTATAATGCTAATGATGTTATCTTCCAACACAGTCTCACGGCATTTCGTGTTATTAGTCACGAAATTAATTTAATCTATTTTTTCGTGTCACACAGAACGATTTTAAATGCAATGTATTTCTATTGGTAGTATGTTTCGTGCCTGCAACACGTCTTTTTGTCCGGTCGGGTCTTGGAAGACCAGAAGCTGTGTGGTTCATAAAAACATGTTCTTACTCAATATCTTACCCTAAGCCTAACCCTATCCCTTTTATTTTAAATTGTATAATGTCTGAGTTTTTTTGCCGTCAGTGAGGAAAAGAAATGGGCTCAGAGCCTCAGAATACTGAAATCTGTATTTTATGTCATCTTTTTTTCCTTCTAATTTGTTATTATTTGGTGCAGGCACGAAACATACTACCAATATAAATACATTGCTTCTAAAATCGTTCTGTGTCAGAATACTTAAATCTGTATTTTTTTAAATGTCTTTTTCCTTCTAATTTGTTATTATTTACATTGCTTTTAAAATCGTTCTGTGTGACACGAAAGAAATGGCGAAATCGTGTTGGTGAACACGAATCAATAGATTAATTTCGTGACTATAACACGAAATGCCGTGAGACTTCTTAACATCATTAGCATTAGGCTCCGCCTAAGCACCGCCGCACCTAACATTCAAATGTTTGAGTGATCTTTGTAAGTATTTGTGCATGTTAGCCACAGGAGGGCTTTTAGCTTAATACTAATGTTAGCATGCTAAGTACAAGCCTTACTACACAGCTAGCATGGCTTAGGACTCTTGTTGTGTTAGTATCTCCACCAATTATTCCCTAACAGAGTGCACCGGAACGAACGACACTATCATAAACAAATGCCCACACACACACACACACACACACACACACACACACACACACACACACACACACACACACACACACACACACACACACACACGCCCTGGCGACAAGACATATTCTTCATAAAACTAATAATATGGCGTAATAATCGGGCAGTTCGATGTGTTTTACCATAAGAAAGTATCTCGTGCGAACGAGAAAGTATACCCTAACCCTAACCCACTAAATTAAAATGTGATTAACCAAATCGCCTCAGTTTTTGCCTCTAGTGTTAGGGGAATGTTTTTAAAAGCGGATTTTCTCTGCTCCCACAGAGATATTTGTGAATTATTTATAAATGATCCACTTCACAAAGAGGGGTTTTCATTTCAAACATCACATCATACATTATTTAACAATGCTCCCCCTGATGTGTCATAATCTACTAAATTGGCTGACTGGTTTATTGATTTGAGAGTGTGAGAGTACCTGAGTTTCTCCACTAACAGAGCCTCCAGGCGGCAGCAGGGGTCTCGGTGTAGACCCCCCCTCACCCTCCACAGGGGGCGCCCTCTCGCTGCCCCAGGAGTGTGAGCGCTGCATCATGGCCTGACGCTGCGTCCTGCCTCTTGGGGGGCTGTTAGTCAACCTTTGACCCTGACTTCCCCTGGCCTCCACACCTCTCCTGCTGTCCCGGCCCAGCTCAGGGGGACCTTGTTGGAGGGAGGGTTCCCTCAGGGACAGGCTCTGCAGCAGCCTCCTGGGGGTGTCATACCACAGGCGGAGCAGGCTGGGGATCTGATAGTCCTCGCTGTGTCCCTGGGACGCACGAGAGCTAGATCTGGAGGTGAAAGGGCACGAGGAGGAGGAAGCAGGCTCTGGGGTAAGGGTGGTCTGAAAAGGAGAAGAAGGAGGAGGAGAGATGGGAGGCGGAGGAGGAGGTGAAGAAGGAAGGTAAGGAGGAGGTGAAGAAGGGGGGTGAGGAGTAGGTGAAGAAGGGAGATGAGCAGGTAAGCTGCCCACAGAGCCAAACTCCCCCTCCCCGCCCTGGCTGGCCATGTCCAGACTCCCGGTGTATGAGGAGTAGCTCCCTGAGTAAGAGGACTGGCTTCCTGCTGCTACCCCAATCCCACTGTCCAATGAGCTCTGCCGTCCACTGTCATTGAGACCCCGAAGGTGGAGCTGGGCGGAGGGGGGGCGGGGACCGGAGCTCCCCATCACAGCAGCGAACAGCCGGTCATCAGAGCCGCTCAGGGCCTTCAGCGTGGAGCAGCTGGAGGCCGTATCCGTGGAGATGTGCGGTCGAGCTAACGGCTCCGCCCTAAAGGAAAGTCTGCTGCCGTAGCTCGTATCTGATTGGCTGGAAGAGGAGCTGGAGATGCTGCTTTGGTCGTCTCCGGCAACAGATGTGCTGCAGCTGTAAGTGGAAGCTGAAGAAAGAGAGACAATTATTAGATCCTGATTACCCAGTATGCACAAACACACACTGAAAGACATTAATCAGTCACCAACCAAATGATTAACTACGATGTTCCGAGTATTTAATAATTCATATGTAAATTGTGTACCTAACTAAGCACTGGGTACAAAATATTATGACAATTTGAAAACTATTTTCAGTCAACGGCTCTCATTTTCTACGGTTCAAGTATTTTGCAATAAAGGCAGAAATCATGGAGTTGTTTTTTTCAGAAATGTTCTGTAAGCTGTTCAATCTGTAAAAATGAATCATGGGTCCTTTGAGCCTCTAAACCTCACCAATGATGATTCATACACACACGTAGTTATGACAAAAACTTTCCCAGAATGGACATATACATTTGGAACAGTGATTAAGCCTTTGTATGCTTAGGCCCACACAGAGTGTAAATTAAAAATGCCTGTATGATAGCATACTCCAGACCTAAACTGCATCAGCATCTGAAGGTCCTGAAATGATGAGTACTATCCCTCTGATACATTACAGGAGCCACTGTGAGTTTACACTCAAGGAAGGACATTGTGAGCAGGCTGAACAAAATATGACTTTGATGTCAAGAGCAGTCTGCGTAAGTCGAGTAAAGTCCCTCTCTTTGAAATATAGGTTTTGATGTTGTGATGTTAGTTGATGAAAGTGTGCATACTGCAAATATGGGCACACATTTTTCTGTCCTATGTTATGCATTCTATGTATCATTTTTCATCCTAATGTTGTACTTTGTTGTACTATAACATACTTTTTCTTGGCATTTGTCTCTGTTTTTATGATCATTCAATGTTCCCTTAATGTAAAGCACTCCACGCTAACTTTCTTGCATTAGAGTTGCTAAACAAAGTATTTTTGTTATTAATATTACAGAGTGCTCATGGGTTGTATATTGGATATATAACCTATAGGGTGCATTTACCAGTATAACGTACCTGTGCTGCTGGCTAGGCTGCATTGAGACAACATGCTGAGTCTCTTCTCCAGCTCGGACGCCTCCAGGCTGAGACGCTCCTCTGCTGATGCTGGATCAGCGTTGGGATCTACATTTCATATAGCGAGCACACAAAAAAAGAGAGAACAAAAACATAAGACATTCAGAATGTTTCAGCAAAACAAACCAGACGTGGTTAAATGCACACATGTTGTGCATTCAAACTGTTTTCCCCCTGTCCATCATGTTTTCTGAATTATTAAGTTAAAGAAGTGAGTTAACATTTGAGAACAAATTCTTATATTTCTAAAGTTAATGTTCAAAAGTAAAGCTCGCTACTGAAGGATCTTTTGTGTACTGAAGATGTTACTTTGACTTTAGTCCAAATCAACTTTGGAATGAATGTCTTCACTGCAATTGTGAAGGTGTACTGTGAACAAAGATAGAAGCAACATTTCAAGGGCAGTCACAATTTACTCATTTTGGCAATAAATATGAAAACGTGTCCTTGAATGTCTTTCAGAAAACATCGCACAAAATCAGGCCAGAAAACTCTTTTGTATCTCAATACAAAAGGAAACTTAAGGACAGAAATGTTGTGAGTGCTACTGGATGCAATGCATCAGCCTCCTTTTTAAGATGCAGTGTGTGTGTGTGTGTGTGTGTGTGTGTGTGTGTGTGTGTGTGTGTGTGTGTGTGTGTGTGTGTGTGTGTGTGTGTGTGTGTGAGTGTGAGTGTGTGTGTGAGTGTGAGTGTGAGTGTGTGTGTGTGTGTGTGTGTGTGTGTGTGTGTGTGAGTGTGTGTGTGTGTGTGTGTGTGTGTGTGTGTGTGAGTGTGAGTGTGTGTGTGAGTGTGAGTGTGAGTGTGAGTGTGTGTGTGTGTGTGTGTGTGTGTGTGTGTGTGTGTGTGTGAGTGTGTGTGTGTGTGTGTGTGTGTGTGTGTGTGTGTGTGTGTGTCCAACTGTTATACCCGCTTGTAAATTGAACATCTCCCAGGAGGTTAAAGGCCCCGAGGCTATCTGTTGGAACGTCAATTTAGTGTGAAACCCTGCCAATTACACACTTAATGCCTGCTATATATACATAGTGTGCGTGTCTTTGTCAGTGTGTGTGTGAGCAGTGGGTAAGGGTGTGTGTATACTGTAGGTGTCAACGCCCTAACCCCTGCATCTGTGCCTCTAGACCGCAGCAGCATATGCTAACGCTAAGATGCCAAGTTTCTTCACTACGCTATGTGAGGTGTCAGCTAACATTTGCTAACGTTAGCTCTGCGCTAATTATAGCTTCTTCACAGAACTGAATGCAGTGGGGTGACGGTGGGCCTCAGCAGGCTGACGCAGGTTGGCTGAGAATAAATGTTCAGGGTGGCTGAATATTAATCTGGGAGATTATCAAGGTGGATGCTGTTTATTAATATTTTCCATATGATTTTCCATCAATCTGACTGATTATCACTCAACCATCAACCTATAGAGCTACACACACCAGCAAATATGTCATCATGTTGATCGGCTAACTGTTTCTTTTGAAAACTACAAATCTTCTATTAATACGCATTTAAATAATTAAAGGTAAGAGCCTTCCTTTTTACAATATGTTTTTTAAGCTGTTGGACCTATGACAGACAATTACAGAGATACGAGGAGTGAGGCTGTGTGTGTGTGTGTGTGTGTGTGTGTGTGTGTGTGTGTGTGTGTGTGTGTGTGTGTGTGTGTGTGTGTGTGTGTGTGTGTGTGTGTGTGTGTGTGTGTGTGTGTGTGTGTGTGTGTGTGTGTGTGTGTGTGTCTGTCTGTCTGTCTGTCTGTCTGTCTGTCTGTCTGTCTGTCTGTCTGTCTGTCTGTCTGTCTGTCTGTCTGTCTGTCTGTCTGTCTGTTGTTGTTGTTGTTGTTGTTAGTAGAGAACTCCCTCAGGAAATAAAATATTCTACTAAGACAAACGGACAGAAAAGTTACTCTATCAAGATAGTGGAAATGTGAAAAAAACTTGGTGCAAGTTAAAATATTCAGTATTAAACGTTTAAATAGTAACTGACTGCAGAAAGTGTTGAGTGCAGTGAGCTAATGACTTCAAATGGAGAATAATGGTCTCTTTGTGCTTTATATTACACTATAAACTCTAGTAATTGTAGACATTTTGGCACTAACACCTAATCTATTTGACCTTAAGCATTACTAAAGTTAACCTAACAAAAAGTGCAAAAAGTCCAGAGCCAGGACAAGAACACGAGGCCTGTGTGTATTTCAGAGAGGAGGGCTCGTCTCTGAGTCTCCTCTGAGTTGTCACATCCTTGGAATGTGCCCAGTACAACTGTTCTCTTCCCTATCTGTCACCAAACCCTCCGTCTACATATTTATGGCTTCAGAAATGCCTGTGAAATTAGCAGTACGTTACAATAGCACACAGGTCACACACAAAGGCACGACCTCAGAATCCAAACGGTGACCCTCGGGGGGTTTTAAGCATGTTGTGATTCTGCTAGCTTGGCGCCTGACACAAATGCTAAACATGCACACTAAACAGGCAGTAAACCTTTAGAACGGAAGTCACGGAGTCACATACCACCGTGACTGATTTCACCATTTTCTTATTAAACAACTAGAAACATTAGTATATCCTAGAAATACTCCTGAGAATGTTCTGTATGCTCCTCATGAGTTTTTGCAGGCATATTGTGTGTGTGTGTGTGTGTGTGTGTGTGTGTGTGTGTGTGTGTGTGTGTGTGTGTGTGTGTGTGTGTGTGTGTGTGTGTGTTCACCTGGCAGGACAGGTCGCAGGCCATGAGGGGTCCTGCTGGGGGTGATGCCCTTCACAATGCAGTCGAACAGGAAGCTGATCTGCTCTCCTTCTGAACAGGACAGGAAGAAAACACCGGCCCCTGGAAGAAGGAGAGAAACGCACAGCACAGTCAAATAGAGACATACGTTTATGATCGAGAAAATCAAAGAGAAAATCTATAACCATGAATCCGTTGTCATTATATACAGCAGAAGAAACAAAACAGTATTATAGTAAATGCTAAAATACGGAGCAAAACCACATTTTGAGCAAGGCCAAACAATATTCAGTGAGGTTCAGAATGGTGTTGTAAAGGCAAAGCTGTTCTTTGACGATGCACTTCTTCTAAAGGTTACATAAAACGTCTCTCAATTCAGCCCCCACTTTGCTATCAGGCCCACACAGAAGTGGGAGACAAGCAAAGAAAAATGATCATAAAACGTCAAAATCTCTCCTTGCCAGAGATATTGAAAATATGTCACAACGTAAGCCATTCCTCGGGGGTTTGGTAAAAATAATTTGTTCTTATGGAGCTGAGTTTTCAGCACATTTAGTAAAAAAATGCTGAGAAAGCAGCATCAAAAATGTTGCTCTTTGTTTTTTCATCTGAGTCGGTCTCTAGTAACCCCAGTCAGCAAAGTGTCTTTGCTCTTTTTATTAAAAGCTGCTCTCGCATTAAAGAGGCCCATTGTGCTTGTTTGTGTTCTCCCTTTTCTGTAGTGTGTTCTATAGGTTGCATGTAAAGGGTCTGCAAAGGCTAACATCCATAACTTATTACAAATACAAATATGAACCTGGACATTTGCATAATATGTCCACTTTAAACAACTGAGCAGTATGTTAGTATTCAGAAAATGGTTTTAAAATGATTCCATTTGTCACAAATAACATTTAGTAATTGTGTGAAGATATCTACCTACCTCATCTATCAAATTAGAATGTTACATATTACTTTGATTTAAGTCCATTTTAAAATCTCAGGAGGACAGGGATATTTTGCATTCAATTGAAAAGTAATATTATTTATTCCTTATCATTTTCATGTTGTTTTTATTATGCTACAATAATGAAAAACTTAAGATGATAAAGTAAATAAACAACATTTTGATTTAGGGATGGTTTGCATTCATTTTCTTTTAAGACTTTTCCTCAATGGTGGTCAGAAAGGTTTGTGTGCTGCACTGAGAGACTTTGTAAAGTATGTGTTCGATGCTGTTGAAATTGGTTTAGAGCAACATTTAGTTCTTCAAGCTGAATAATTGAGGAGATTTTTTCGCTTGAACCATCACTGAGCATTAAATGCAATGGAAACCTGATAGCTCCACTAGCTGTTATGCATTAGAGTATTTTCTTGAGTCAGTGAATTGCTCAAGCTGCTTATCAACTCACCGGCTCAGTGACACTTTCACAACGGGGGGAGATGCAGTTTGTGTAAGTCTATTAGCTGGGAGTGAACTTTAGACCTCATAAAACTCTACAAAACAACAGAAAGAAAATCAACAAAAGGTAAAGATGTCCTTTTAAATCCAAACAAGTTATCTGACCTGATTGAGAGACGAAAGAAGTTGGCTCTTGTTAATCAACACATTACACGCCCTCTGGAAGCCGTTCTGAACCGCTTTCAAAAGGGTACGAGGTACCAGACTGTATCTACCATCAGGGAGATATGTGGATATTTAGCTGCTAAACGCCCCACTATGTTCAGTAGCTAGCTTGCCGCTAACTTGCGTTGTCTGTCATACGGCAGGTAGTGTACTGTGGAGTCTCGACTTCTCCTAATGTTGTTGTTGAAACTCTTGTTCAAAAAGTTATCAGATCAAGATATTTCTTGGCAATATTTCTGTTAGTGCAGAGCTAGGGGAGTCATTTGCATAGCTCTTTCTACATTTCTCCGGTGTGACAAAAAGCATCTTCAGAAGACTTGAGAAGCTTTGTCTCTTCACGTGCAATTTTGGAGGGAAATGTAAGCCTTTGTGTGGGAATGTCATCGTAACCTTTTAAACAAGGGACACATATTCTAGCATTAGAGAGAAAATCCCTTGTATTGGTTTGAATAAAACAAGCTGTAATTTTCAATTTCTGTAAATTGTAAGGGCATTGTCACTCGTGTTTTTGTAGATGGCGAGTCCTTAATCTGTCATGTCCTCATATATTTCTCACAAATACGCTGAGTTCTGCTGCATGCCAGGTCATCTTAGAAGAGGCCAAACTCTTTTTATATTGAAAACAGAAAGAAGCAGCTTTCCTGTCAGATTACAGCAGGCAAGCAACATCTCTGCCTTTGTTAAGCTGTGTTTCTATCAAATATTGTGCAACTATCTACGGCTACTATAATGACATAATGACTTTTATAACAGAGGACTCAACACCATTTTAACCTCTGTGGGACATTCCCACCCTAATGTCACATGGCATTAAATAAGTTGAAGTTGCCTTTTACTTTGTCCGTCTACAAACTTCCTGATCAGGATGAATATAGACAGTGTAATGACAAACATCCTCACACGTACGATACTACAATACGAGGTGTGAGTGTGTTAATGCCTGCCTAGAGACATGGAAAGATGGCTGACATAGCATGTCATCTTAAAGTTGCTTTTATCTAGATCACAAGGCTTGACAGCTATCCAACCTCAGCAGAGGATCATTCTTTATTGTGTCCTCATGGGGAGTGTGAGCGAACCTGATAAGCCAGAAAATACCTGCCTAGCTAAGAAACGGCTTTGCTCAAAACATCATCGATTACAGAACGCTGTGGCCTCATTATCACATCCAATGGAAGCAGGAGGACTGGTATCAATAGCCGCGTTCACACCGCAGTACTTTTCCCACTTTAGTTCCGCTATATATCCGAAATGTTGCGTTCACACCAAAAAGTGAGTGTGTGTGTGTGTGTGTGTGTGTGTGTGTGTGTGTGTGTGTGTGGTGTGTGTGTGTGTGTGTGTGTGTGTGTGTGTGGTGTGTGTGTGTGTAGGCTGTGTGTGTATGGTGTTGTGTAGGTTGTGGTGTGTGTGTGTGTGGTTGTGTGTGTGTGTGTGTGTGTGTGTTGTGTGTGTGTGTGGGGGTGTGTGTGTGTGTCGGTGTGTGGTGTCGGTGTAGTGTGTGTGGATGTGGTGTGTCGGTGTGTTGTGTAGGTGTGTGTGAGCGTGTGTGTGTCGATGAAGTGTGTGTGTCGGGTGTGTTGTAGTGTGTGTGTGGTCGTGTGTGTGTGTATTGTGTGGTGTTGTGTGTCGGTGGTGGTGTGTGTCGGTGTAGTGTGTCGGTGATGTGTGTGGTCAGGTGTGTGTCGTGTGTGTGTTCGTTGTGTAGTGTGTGTGGTGTAGGTGTGTGTGTGTGTGTGGGTGCGTGTGTGTGTTGTGTCGGTGTGGTGTCGAGTGTGGTTGTTTGTGTGGTGTGTGTGTGTAGGGTTGTCGAGTGTGTGTGGTGGCGGTGTGTGTGGTATGGGGGGTGTGTGTTTGTGGTTCGGTGTGATGTTGTTGGGGTGGGATCGGTGTTAGGTGTGTGTGTGTTTGTGTGTGTGTGGTGTGTGTGTGTGTGTCTGTGTGTGTGTCGGTGTGTGTGTGTGTTTGGTGTGTGTGGTTGTGTGTAGGTGTGTGTGTGTGTGTAGGTGTGTGTGTGTGTGTGTGTCTTGTGTTGTGTGTGTGTGTGTGTGTGTGTAGGTGTGTGTGTAGGTGTGTGTGTTGTGTGTGTGTGTGTGTGTGGTGTGTGTGTGTGTGTGTGTGTGTGTGTAGGTGTGTGTAGGTGTGTGTGTAGGTGTGTGTGTGGTGTGTGTGTTGTGTGTGTTGTGTGTGTTTTGTGTGGTGTGTGTGGTGTGGAGGTGTGTGTGGTGTGTGTCGTGTGTGTGTGTGTGTGTCGGTGGTCTGTGGTGTGTGTGTAGTGTGTGTGTGGTGTGTCTCGTGGTGTGTGTGTGTGTGGTCTGTTGTGTGTGTGTGTGTGTGTGTGTGTGTGTGTGTGTGTGTGTGTGTGTGTGTGTGTGTCGTGTGTGTGTCGGTGTGTGGTGTGTGTGTGTGTGTGTGTGGTGTGTGTGTGTGTGTGTGTGTGTGTGTGTGTGTAGGTGTGTGTGTGTGTGTGTGTGTGTGTGTGTGTGTGTGTGTGTGTGTGTGTGTGTGTGTGTGTGTGTGTGTGTGTGAGTGCTTGTCGGGTCACTGTTGGGTCTGTCTTCAGCTCTGCAGACAGAAATGGTTTGATCTGAGGCACAGCTGACTTTCATAGTGCAGCTGCAGCAGGGAGCACATGGCAGTGAAGGCTAATGTATTTTTATACAACAGCATAAGATGACCGAGGCACCCACGACTGATTTACTCGAGCAACAGAACTCTAGGGAAATTATGGAGTTGGGAGGGTATTACAACCATATTGACATTGGTCCAGTGTCAATTTGCATGTATTCTAATATTTTGCATGATTTATATGTTTTGCATGATTTATAAGTACCCATGTTTTATCTTGTTACATTTTCCCCCAATGCAGCAGCTGCACATTAGCCATGTCGCACTGCTTTTTCTTAAAGATAAGTGCATGGAGACATGTTTGCAAAGTTTTTGTGGAAGCAGGTGTGTAAATGCGCAAGAGAAATTCTGCCTTGGATGCCTAGCACTCGTATGTCTCGCATAAACTCAAGAATTACAAATAAACATGTTAAAATGTAAGCGAACACTTTGCATTACCTCGCACTCATGCAAGGAATTTCACTTCCCAATTTGACTCTCACATCTTTTTCTATCTGTCACTCTGTTCATGCAGACACGCCAAGAGGGCCTCCAACTGCCCCGGCGACTGCTGGGTAATATGTCGATGAGCGGAGGGAGAACACTGTGTTACTGCGGTACAGTCAGCTGGGGCTATGTGATTGGCTGAGTGACCCCTTCAGGGGAGGCTGGTATTTATAGCTGCTGTTCATAAGAACAGTGAAACCAGAGCCTTTGGCCCTCGTGGTTATTCCTGTAGGAGCCATGAGACTGTGAACACACACACACACACACACACACACACACACACACACACACACACACACACACACACACACACACACACACACACACACACACACACACACACACACACACACACACACACACACACACACACACACACACACACACACACACACACACACACACACACAGACAGACAGACCTCACATTGGTGCATTCAGGAACTTTCTCCAAACACTAACACAGCTGTTTAGTGAAGAGATCTCCCTATCATGAGAGGTAGAAAATAACATATTTTCTGGGATTTTAATAAGATTAGGAACAGAGCAGATTTGTCAATTTAGTTTTTCCAACAATGAATACTTGAACACCGTCCCATTCAACACTTGTCTTGCTTTCCCAATGACTCCCCACATCACACACACCCGTAAAAAACATCAAACTGCCTCGCATTCTTTGCATTCATGCCGACATCAACTGGACATTCAGAAGATACCTAGACCTAAGCAACCAAACAAACTCACACACACACACACACACACACACACACACACACACACACACACACACACACACACACACACACACACACACACACACACACACACACACACACACACACACACACACACACACACACACACACACACACACACACACACACACTGCATTTTATGGTGGGCAGGCGTGCAGTACAGTATGGTGGGTTCACACAGACAGAGTATTTTCTTATATGGATGAGGTAACGTTATAAATTGTGTTGAATCACAGGTTTCTTTAGGATTCTGTGTTAAATGACAGATCTATCAACCTTTAAGGAGCACTAGAGTGAAATGAAAAGGAGTTTCTTATTTATCCAATGAAAGCACTTTAAAAAGTGTAATTTACACAACAGCGCTGCAGTGGTTGTTTATCACACGGACAAGTTGCTGGTCCAGCGAGTTCTCGGTTGGTTAGACTTTAAAGTTCTCTCTCTCTCACTCTCACACTGAACATCAGTCTTTGAATGGATTTTGTGACCCCTCCAGACCTGCTAATGAATGGATCTGTTTTCTCGAGTAACAAGCGCATTTCCAATATTTGAGGGCATCTTTTAACCTTTAATTTATGAGAGGGAACGAGCAATTAAAATCCCAATGTTTATCGAGTAAGAAAATGTTGTTGCTCTTTCAGAAGTCTCAGGTTCAGATGATTTATTTGGGAAGATTTGGTTTGCAGATAAGAGACAAGCGATCCATTATGATATGGGATTTGATGTTTCCATTTGACTGCTAATGCAAAATGCTAATGGTGCTTCAAATGATAGATTGAATATGGGTGATGAAAAATAAATTTGTGATTTAATAACATATTTCAAATATGACGTTAACCATTGCTATCTTTCATCATTAAGCTGCAGCATGGCTCTTGCAGGATGGACACTAACCTTACGTGACCTTGGTTTGGTTAGTTACCCATACATAACACACACTGCAATACCACTGCTTATGTGCAATATTCACTCTATTTTTCACCATTTATTCATGTTTTGACTTGTATATTTAATATTTCCATTTCCTTTTTTAAATGCTGCACGATTGTTTTACCATGGCTGTGTATTTGTCTGATTTGTTTGCCTTTAATGCTGTTATTTTGTAAGGATTTAGAGGATTTCTGATTCTGATACAACACACTCAGGGTATGTGAGGAGCTGCACATTGGCCAGAGCTGTTTTTAAAGTATTAGTGTTAATGTGTTGCCCTTTTTGGCTGCAGGTCACATGTCTAAATTCCCACAGCAGTAAAAGCCTCTCAGTGTAGGGATTACTCACAGTATCCACAGCGAGTCCCCCCCTCGAACACAAAGCCGCTTGGCACCGCTCCATATCGACGCAACGCCGACAGCTTCCAGTGGCCGATGATGACAGGAGGGACGCCTCTGGTGAGGACCAACAGGTCGTTGCACAGGTGGAGGGAGGCGGGGCCGCTCTCCAGCTTGGTGCCTGGCTCCACATTCACACACAACCTGTGGACTGAAGGAGAGAACAGGGTAAACGTTTGAAAAAGAAGAGTGTGTGTCAAACAGACAAATGACGATAAGTGAAGTATCGTTGATCATAAAGCACACAAGACACATTTATCTCACAACAAATGAGGTGAGATAATAATAAAAAGCCCACAGAGCGTATCAAAAACACATGACATTAACACACATGTACAGTGTCACTGATGGCTGTTGTAATGAGGATTAAGCACTGCTTTAAGCTCTGCTGCCTGCAATTTGTCACCGCTCAGTTGGTGCAGATGGCCCTTTTTTGGTGCAACGGTCTGTCTCCCCCTCTCACAGAGAATCACATAGAGTATGTAAATGTATGTATGTGCTTCACCGCTAATATAGGAGATTTTTAAACAAGTGATAATGACAGGAAATGAATAAGTACAAACCAATCATTTTAAAATGTAAAGAGAAAGCATTCCAAATCAGTGTTTGTGATCTGAACACTTCTCCTCACTGCAGGACAGACTGAAAGGTTCTGCTAGAGCTCCTCTGCTGAATGGTTTGCATGGAGCTAAACATTTAAAGATGTAGCTGAGGGCAACAGCGTGTGGTGTGTTGGTGTGCTGATCTGAAGCAAGCGCTTTTCTAGCATAATGAAATGATGTGAAACCAAAGGCTGCCTTGAAGAAAAGCAATCAGTCTGCATTGGTAAATGTTAACAGCAATGTAAAGTGTTCACAATTTGCAATAAGGGCACATTAAAGGGAAATGGTTTCCACATTGGGGACAAAACTGCAGGCATGAAATAGATTTTTGTCGGGCAAAGAAAACAGTAGGGTATAGAGATAAGTGTATGTGTTTAAAATGATTCTCAGCAAAAGGAAGCAGAGCAAGAAACTGTGTTTCTGTAGTTAAATTGGAATTCTTAGCAGTGGGTTTTATATTGGGAGATAAAATATTTATTGCGCTGTGGGATTTATTCCAACAGTCAGGAGAAAAGGAAAGAACAAAAGAAAAGGAGCTGGGAAGTGTTCTCTGTTATGAACTCTTAATAAAAGCAGAAACTGCTGTTTGTTATGCCACATTCAAATTGGAAGCAAACGCTTATGCGAAATAAGATAAGGGTAAGGGTGGAGGTGCAGCACAAGACATTTTATTGTTCAACTCACATTTCGGCTATGAAGTACAGCAAAAAATCGGACTGTAATTATTTTTAAATATTCATGATAATGGACATTTTTCAATAAGACAATTTTAAATTGCTTTTAAAAAGTTTAGACAGAGGTAAAAAGTGATTTGTAAAGGGCCAAAGTTAGAATTATAAAACCATTGCAAAACTTATAATTGAAAGCCGGAGATTTTATTAAGAGATAAAGTGCACCATTAAGCTGTTTGGCATGAGCGCAGGTGGAAGAGTTCGAGTGAAAGATGGTATCATCAATACAAACGATTGACTCTTTTTTTTTTACTTGCTTCAGAGCATGCAATTCTACACCTAGAATAATATCAAGACAATCTTAAAGGTAGGGTAGGTAAGTTTGAGAAACCGGCTCGAGATCGCTAGAATTTGAAAATACACAACCGGAGAAAATCTGCCACTTCCTTACAGAGCCCCTCCTCCAACACACACGAACGCGCACATGACCAATGAGGGCACGAGATAAGTTTGTGCACAGATGGAAGGCTGACAGGCAGGTAGGCCATCCAGTTATTTTAGCCGGGCCGGCTAAAATGATTGGTCGTGCTTTTTACAGTATTACGGCTTCCACAGATGACATTTTTTTATGGATTTTTTGTCAAAGCACTTAAGATATTCATTGCTATCGGGATGTTAAGAGCATTCCATGGAATATAACAAAAAGTGTATCTCGAGCCAGTTTGTACACCTTTTTCCCTCAGCTCACTACTTTCCACTGAACACAAAGTTGTAAAGTTGAGACAGCAGATCCTGCAGATAAAGAAGAGCCCAAGTGATGGAGGACAGATTTTATCTTCATCTCTTTGTTCCCCTTTGGCAAGGAACCTCCAGTGAACTGTGTTTTGCAGCCTGGTTACACACAGTATATACACCTTGTTGCCAACCAATTACAAAGGATTAGAGAAGTTCTTACCCTGCATGCATCCACATTCTGGATTTAAATGTAAAGGCCAATAACAACTGGGTCATGGAGGTCATGGAGCATCGGATGTCACTTTAAACTAACAATACTGTAAGGAATGTTCTGCTCATGATCAAAACAATGTTTGCTAGGTGGACACAGGATGGAGAGGCTACAAGCTTCCTGCTAATGTTAGCTAAGCTTGATTCTCTGATAACTTAAGATCCAGACGTCAGATCAACAAAAATATTTAATCCAGTTCACATTTAAGGTTACAATGGTCCAAGAATGCAGCAGTGTATTGCGAAAACATGGCTTAAAAGTTGACAGGGGACTTTAGAGCTTGATGAAGCAATAGCTGAGATACTAATGTTGATTCAAACACGCCTTGAAAAAAATACCAAAACAGGCTGATTATCATTCCAAAAGAAACCTCCTCTTCAGCTTTAAGCAACTATCATGGGATTCCTCTGATAACTGCAGCTTACTGAGCCCACTTCCCCCTTGCTTGAATCCTTCACACACACTTTAATGTTACTCAGGACTGTGACATCCACACAGGCCGCAGCACTGACCTTCTCCCAGGCTGTAGCGGATGCGAGTGTCCCAGGCCAGCAGGGCTTCTCGGCTGTTGAAGCCCAGGACCAGCGTGTGTGCCAGGCAGAGGATGGAGAGGCTGTAGGAGACCCCGTCGTACCCGGGGCCCGGCTCCACCCCACAGATACCCTGAGGGGAAAGAGATAACCACACTTAGAGATTAGTTTGTTTATTCTCTTTTACTCTGTATTATTTCCATGATATCAATGTTGAGTCATTTATTAATTTGTATCTATAAAATAGGCTCAAGATGTTCAAAAAGGTCTTTATTTTTCTCAAACTGCCTGTGCTGCAGCACCTCTTTTCACCCTCTGTCTGAAACCAGAGCCCAGTCTGCTCTGATTGGATAGCTGCCGGCTCTGGTGTGATTGGTCAAATGCAGACCATTTACATGCACAAAAACCTACAAAACACACTACAGGAAAGGGAAAACCCCAAAAAGCATAATAGTGCCCCTTTAATATATACCTACATTTGTATATTCAAACATTAGACGTTATGCATATTTTAATATTAGAAGGTCCTTTTCATGATAGGAATCATTTCAGTAGGTCTTAGGTCAGATATCTCTCCTTGAGTCAGGTCATTCTCTCCCAAGTATAGTCACACACACAGAGCAGTCTACCCAAGCTGATAGTGGTTAAGACTGGCACAGTGCTCTCTTTGCAAGGAACAGAAGATAGAAGGTCGGAGACAGTGATTATACAAAGTCTTACGTCTAAGATTAGTTTGACCGATAATTAAGGAGTCATCGAAATCAGTCATCTTCAGATAAAGAATCTTATGACAGGCCGTGTTTAGGAGGAAAATTGACAAAGAATGGATGGTGACATATAATGTGACTGGACTCTTGTATTCGCTTGTATCGTATCTTCTGTTTCTCCTTGGCCAAGCTTTTTATTAAACCCTCAGATAGTCAGACATCAGTCTAAGATCAGATCAGCTTATTTGTTTTCCAAAGTCTTATCAGCCTAAATCAAAAGAGTTGGTTAAGGTCAGGTGGGGGAACTATTACAGCAGAAGGAATCGTTCCTCTTTGCTTACTGTTGGAAAATTGTCCTTTTTTTTGTTCTCTTACAATGTTTTAAGCAATGGTTATAATTTCCAAAAGTCACCCTCAGCTCTTATACTCTCCATCTATGTGGCATTCACTTTATTTGGACTACCCTCTGTAAATGTGGCAGCAGGTGAGAGATGCAGTAACATTAAAAAGCTGTAATAATTCTGCCCTTTAGATCAGAGGCAAAAAGCCTTTGGTGTTTTGCGTCTGAACGTACCTCCAGGTTTACATTGAGCCTCTCCTTGTGACCGCTGCCATTCTCCCTTTTCCCTTTTTTCTTCTTCTTCTCTTTGTACACCAGCAGAGACAGGCAGTCTGAAGCAGAGACAGAAAGATTGTTTAAAAGACAGACAGGCTTTAAAGTCCATTTTGAACATAATAGCACAATGTAGAATAACAACGGAGTCCCTTTTTTGTAATCCCTGCTGCCTATGTTTATTGAACAGCTGCCATAACAAACCCTAAACTATGAAGTGATCCACTGGCACAGCTGATGATGAATAAAGACACACACTATGAACACACACATTGTAGCCTACAATACATTTTATACCTAATTTCTTCAAGGGCAGCTTGCTACAGCTTGAGTCACTTGTTTATGTATGCAGAGGGGCACAGTGTGTCCTCCACACAGCATCTCAAGTGAAACTCGATTCTGTTTTGAGACATGCTGTTAGCAGACAGAGACCTCTGTCAACACTTTGGCAATGTCACACTTTACGTTTTTTTAAATGAACCTGGAATCAAACTGGCACCAGAAAGATATTTGAGGTCCAGACAGTTCATTTGAAGGGTGCAGGAATTACTAATTTGTCTGAACATTTTAAAAAGTGAAGTTGGTCATTTCAATCAATTCAGATGCGTGCCATCCCCACATATTGACGCGGATATGATGCGTTATGCGCTCCTGTGGCGCACAGCCAAGTGACCAATCAACACGTTGTTATTAGTTTAACAGCGGAAAAGCAGAACAGATCAGTGCTAAATGACGCAGATGTGATGATCTCTGTGTAAATGTGCGCATTTTAAGTGGGAATGATATGACTCTAGTGGTTTGCACCGCCTCACATGCCTACCTGCGACCGGAGAGGGCTTCCGAAGAACGACGCACCGACTCTTCCACTGTGAGGGAGTTTAGAATCAATACATTACAAAATGATTCCTATAGGTGTTGCTAAAGTATGGAAAGACATGTTGAAGTTAAAAAAATAAGAAGAATATTGGAGAAACTCACCTTTTTTCCATCCCTAAACTTTACTTGTCCCTCCGCGACAACTGTATCCGTCATCTTCTGTCATGGTTCCGAGCAGCTGGGTGTGTGTGTGTGTGTGTGTGTGTGTGTGTGTGTGTGTGTGTGTGTGTGTGTGTGTGTGTGTGTGTGTGTGTGTGTGTGTGTGTGTGTGTGTGTGTGTGTGTGTGTGTGTGTGTGTGTGTGTGTGTGTGTGTGTGTGTGTGTGTGTCAGATCAGAGAGAGAGAGAGAGGGGAGGTAACTAACTTTTCAAAATAGCCTTTACAGTCCTTGCCCCGCCGGCAGACTGCTCCCTTTCTCCCCGACAATCAGACCCCCGAGGCAGCCTCCCCCCGCTGGCCCCGCACAAGTTAGTACAGTTGTCATCGCCCGTCAAGTGCTTAATGTTTACGATGGAGCTAATTCGATTAAAAGCGCATAACTCGCGCACCTTTCACTTAACTCCTGAATCTGGCTGTGAGCCGGGTGTTAGACAGGTATTCATGTTGCCTTAATGTTAATCAGTGAGGCATCGGCTCTGGCTGTGGAAAGCCACTTTAATCTGTGAAAGCTGGCTAGAGTAATGCCAATGAAGAGATGTAAAACGAGCAAATTAGCTTCAAATCCCCAAGAATAAATAAATGATCATGCAAGATTAAATACTTTATTATGTGATGTATATCCAAATGTCCACTGAATGAGCACATTCCGAGGGCAAATAGGAAAATCCTGCTGGTTCTTTATTGACTTTGTATTGTCTCAGAAACAAGGTCCAGTTAAAATACTGACAATCCTTTCAATGCTTTTCATCAAGGAACTTATCGACTGGTAAGTCTACTGTCAAGGTTCAGGAGCATCTATTTCTGAAATGACAGTAACGCTTATCTCACAAGAGTGTTTCCTCGCCTGTGAACTGCAGCAGGCAGCTGACAAAGTCTACAAATTGTTCATATTTAATTGTTCTTCAGGATGACATATTACACCGTTTATGCAAAAAAGTAACTGTTTTTAATACTGCTGCAGCTTTTATTATGTTGTCATGTTTGTGAGAGCAGCTGTAAAATGTCCTCTATGGCTCTGGAGGAGTTTGGTAGTCTTTTGGTTGAACACTGTGCGTTCCAAGTCTGCATTGCAAGCTTTAAAGATGTAAGTGTTTACTGGTAAGAGAAGGTATAACAAATTATTCCGTAAAGTTGCATTAGGGGAAATATAGGATCCAACATTTCAAGAGCTTGACCCACACTGAGGACTGAAAGTCAGAATATTTCAGCTACTGCTTGACTATTTGCAAGTGCTCCAACTTTAGGGAAGAGCAACAATAAATCTCTGGAGCTACAGATTTATTTTAAAATATATAACAAAATAACTTCTGTTGCAAGTATTCTCCCGCACGGGAAAACAGGAAGTGCATTGCTGTGTCCCAATTCTGTACTACATGCTCTCTGTGCAAATTATGAACCTGTAGATAATCTTTTAATAAGTAAACATATCAAATAAAAATATACTATACTTTATCATTCAAAACATGAGCTTCAAAATATCAACATGCCTGTTCCCTTGGTATGCCAAATGCCAATTCCACTACACAATTAGCAGCAGTTTTTCTTGAAATACTCAAAGTACAAGTCTTACAAGTTGTTTTTAAATACTCCACTATCCTGAGAACGATAAAATGGAATTGGGACACAGCCTTTGATTATGTCAGTCTGTCTAATAGCAGCCCTGGTGTTCAGTCTGGCAGCTGCACATTCGTTGACACTGAGCCTCCACTTGAAACCTTTACAGTTTTTCAGCTGCCGGTCGGAGACGACATCAGGCCAGACAGAGTGAGTCACCTTAGTGTCGGCTCCTCAAACGAAGGTGGCTTTTAATTTACTGCGGTCTATCTGCCCCTTGCCCTCGCTCTGCTCCATCTGTCTCCGGGCTGGGACCATGGAGGGCAAGTCTGAAGTCTGGTACACTGCAGACCTCATCCTGCTGCCACGGCAACGCAGCTCCAAGGCCACACCCTCCCACTTCCTGTCCAGCTCTGAGCCCTGAGAGCCCTGCAGGTCTCGGGGCCCTCTTTGGGCTCGCCTGCTGTCCTCTTTGTCAGCCGTGGCCCTGATGTTGTCCAAATCCAACGCTCGTTTTGGTGTCGAGTGGTGAGAGCGGGATGAAGGTGACTTGGATTTGCGACGTGAACGAATAGGAGGCCGTGGGGGAGGAAGAGGAGGAGGAGAGGGAGAGGGAGAGGGAGGGGTTGGGTTTGAAGGTATCGTTCTTCTGTTGGGCATTTTGAAACCTCTTCCTCCTCCTTCTCCTCCTCCTCTGCCTCTTTCCCTGTCTCTCGATCTGTTTCTGTCTTTACCTGAGGAAGAAGAGGCTGATTTAAAAAAAGAGAGACAAACAGACGGTGGAAATATAAGAAATGACAAATAAAATAAATGACAAAGCACTCACCGGCACTGCAAACCATCCAACATGCAGGGAAGAAATCACTCACGGGAAACAAAAAATAAGAGCAAAATGCTTGTGTCTGTGGTGCAGTGAGGAGTACAATTAAAACTAGAGAATGCAATTCCTGAAGAAATTGCTAGTGGGAATGCTTTATGCTGAAAAGCTGACGCTGAATTGCTATGCTGAAATGTAATGTGTAAGAAGAAAGTGAAGAATTTAGATTGAAATGACACATGAACACTGGGGGCTTGAATGTGTGTTGTGAGAAGAAAAGAAAGTAAAATGGCTTGGAAAAGCAGCAGAATATTTGAACTGCAAACTTTTGAACTAACTTGATGGCGAATGATCTGTCGCCATGCCAACAGCATTTGATGACATCCCATAATACGCTTAGGTGCGTTGATGGCTGCATCGTTACCAAACCTGTGAAGTTTTGGGCCGTTTGGAGCATTTTCACTGAAGTTATGAGAAAACCGTGTTTCATGGCGAGCCTTGTGTTACCATGGCAACGACATTTGAACAAATCTCAAAACTGTCACGTAGATGTCTTCACGGCTGGACTGTTAGCACACATGTGAAGTTTGAGCACTTTTTGAACATTTTCATAGGATCCTAGCGACATCGTGTTTTATGGCGAGGGATGCGTTTCCATGGAAACGGCATATGATGACACCCCATAATTGACGTAGAGCTGTTGAGGGCAGGACCATTAACCATTATCTGAAGTCTGCTGCTCTGAGCAAGTCAGTTGGAGTTATGACATCATCGTGTTCCATGACACAGGTGTTTAAATTTGAGCTAACGAGGTGTCCAGAGATCAAAGGTTTCCATTGTTCTGAATGAGAGATAAACCTCTTACATGTGAACGTTTTGTTGAAGAACCGTAACAGATATCGGTGAAATCTCAAAGCGTGAAGCATCTCAAGGACCTTGAGTATCTGAAGTGTGTTTTTTGTGTACTTTCGGGTCAATAATGTGGCCTTTTTGGCAGATTAACTAAAGGTGTGCGGCTGCTGCTGTGAGGAAATATCAGCCTGAAATTACAATGGGCTTTAATGGAGACATGTTGAACGTTTTTGTCACTTCATGCCCTCAAGAGGCATTTTGTTTAATTATTTTTTGCTTAATTATTTGTCATTTTTCAAGCTACGAGATGTTTTCCTACGTTTGTCATGAAAGATTATGTCTCAGGAATGTAGGGTTTGGGAATTATGGCAGTTTAAAAAAAATATATGAAGGCAAATTTCAAGATTTCCTACACTCTAGCTGTGACATCACACACTCTAGTTAATGTTAAAGTGGACCTATCATGCTATATTTGAATAATATAGTGTAGGACCATACCTATATAAGGCATATTTATACTTTTTTTTTTTTCAAAATACCAAACAGATCATGCATTTTAGCCATGCCTCATTTTGCTCAATTTGACATTTTTTAGATCTGTTTTAGCAAGGGTTGATTCTGTGAGCAACAGCACCATCTAGAGGCCTGGCATATGTACTACAACGTCTCCAGCGCTTTCGAACGGCAATGCCGTGGTTGTCTCCTCCTGATTGGTGGAGTTGGCCCAATAGCCGTAGCGCCACTGTCCTGACGTCAGGAAAGTGTTCAAATCTGGATCAGTTTTTATCAGATCCGTTGCAGCCCCTTTTTTTAGAGATTTGGGTATGGAGGAAAATAGAGAGGGTTGTGTTTTCTGACACTTGGTGAGTTCCCTGGAACACCGGGGACACATATTCATGTATAAAAGACGTACAAAAGTGCATTTTGCATGATAGGTCCCCTTTAAAATCTGAAGAAGGCCTCAGTACCAAGGTCTGAACAATGTTTAATATCTCTAAAAGTAAGAATCAGATTTAAAAGTTGTGTTACACGAATAATGTCAGAAAGATGTGTAAAAGTATGAATGAACAGTTAGCAGTTGATGTCGCATGAAGATTTGTTGAAGTCTGAAGAATTTCTCCATTGACTTCAATGGTTAAAAATGTGATGTATTATGGGATGTATCTCTGGAATTATGAAAGTTATGAATGATAAAAGTAATAGCAATCGAATCCCGACCGAGCTGAACATTTTGATGAGTTTCTGCGATGTTCAATGCGGGAGAAGACCGGCAAAATAACGGGTGGAATAATAAGAATAAATAATTTCGTGCGTAGAAGAACAGATAGTTGGAATGTTGTTAACAGCATTCCAACTAAAATACAAGAACAGCCAGACTAAAGCTAGAGGATATCTTCATCCCACGGTATGTTTATGTTTATGTGTGTGTGTGTGTGTGTGTGTGTGTGTGTGTGTGTGTGTGTGTGTGTGTGTATGTGTATGTGTATGTGTGTGTGTGTGTGTGTGTGTGTGTGTGTGTGTGTGTGTGTGTGTGTGTGTGTGAGGAAGAGAGTGAGAAATTAAGAAAAAAAATCACATTCTGTCAAATTCAGTGAACGATTCCACTCTGACAGCCATGACCAGCCTGTAACCAACTGTTGCAACACCATGACACACACACACACACACACACACACACACACACACACACACACACACACACACACACACACACACACACACACACACACACACACACACACACACACACACACACACACATAAACACACACACACACACACACACACACACACACACACACCCGAAGGGATGGGAGACAGCAGGAAACTAAGTGGATCTGTCAGATATTCCCATGCTGGCTCTTGGCTATGACATCATGGGCAAATAGTTAGACAGTGTTCAGTGTGTGTGTGTGTGTGTGTGTGTGTGTCCATCTCAATACAGCCTGCTGCCATCTACTGGCTAAAAGAAAGAGAGATTAATAGTCTTACTTTTAGGTAGCCGTTATTTTATAAATTATTACATTTTATCTGCTGATGTGTTATTTAATTGATATTGAATTCCTTCGTCTCATTCAGAATGAACCAACAACAGGTATTTCTTAAGGCCGCTACACACCCACCTGAGACCAAAGAACGCGTACCGAAGGCGTCCCGACTTTTGCGTCAGCCCGCTACGCCGCCCGCTACGCCGCCCGCCTACGAACACACCGCAAATACTTCAGTCGACGAGTGGTAATAACTGTCCTTACCAGCAGGTAGCGGTAGTGTGAACAGCCAATCAGAGTGATTGCTTGGGCCGACTTTCTCTGCCGCGGGAGGTGTGAAAAGGTGCCGTAAAGAGACGACGGTGCGGGACACACCAACCCGATTTTGGGAGTCAGAGGCCGTCAGAGGGCATTCGCGGCGCCCTACTCAGGTTGGTTGCTAAGCTATTAGCAACATTTCCCTCATCTGTCAAATGCCTCCCTGGTATTTATTTTTTAGTGTTTCTTTTTCAGATTCCCTTTTTGATCAGTTCCAGTTTTTTTATTGTGAATTTACTATGTTGGCAGTTGCAAATAGCAACTTTTCCTGCAGAATTTAGCATCCGTTTTCGCAGAGCACCCTATGAACGGCCTCTCTCTGAATCAACACAGGCAAGATTTGTATCTAGTACTGCAATATTTCACAAATAGTTTCACATTTTCCAAGCTTTGTCTGGGAGAGGGGTAGGAAGGCAACCAAAAAACGTACAGTCAAATGTAAGTGTTTGTCTAGTTTCCTTCAGACTGCTTGACTTACAATATGCTTTAGCAAACATTAGAATGCTAAAAATCTAAGCTAACTGAGGAAACACTATAGGCTACTAACCAAACATCAACATGTAATTAGATTAGATTCACTGTATTAAACCCAATTTGGGAAACAGCAGCATGTAAATAAGGCATTTTCACTGTGAGCCTGTTAGCATGCTGATGTTAGCATTTAAGGTTAGCTTAAAACAACCTTGCAGAGCAACCCAGTCTCACGGCATTTCGTGTTATATAGTCACGACATTTAATCTATTGATTCGTGTTCACCAACACGATTTACCCCTTTTTTTCGTGTCACACAGAACGATTTTAAAAGCAATGTATTTCTATTGGTAGTATGTTTCGTGCCTGCACCACGTCTTTTTGTCCGGTCGGGTCTTGGAAGACCGGAAGCTGTGTGGTTCATAAAAACATGTTCTTACTCAATATCAAGCCACGATTATTGTTTTTATTTTAAATCGTATAATGTCTGACTTTTTTTGCCGTCTGCGAGGAAAATAAATGGGGCTCAGAGCCTCAGAATACTGAAATCTGTATTTTTTTTAATCTTTTTTTCCTTCTAATTTGTTATTCTTTTCTAAATAACACACTGTTATTTACTCAACAATAACAAATATTATGTAACTACGGTTCTATGAGTCCCGGATGACCGCCACAATATCCTGTCACTCAGAATTCTTGTGTGCTCGCAAGAAGATTCTGGGAACAGATCCTTTGACGACACCGGCACATATAGCCGGTGTCACGTGGGTCACAGCAGGTGACTTTGTTATTGGTACTCGAGCTGCGCATGCGCGCGATGGACATATCCAGTGCTAAAGCACCGCCTCTGGCGGTCATCCGGGACTCATAGAACCGTAGTTACAGACGTAACTATCGATTTAAGTGCTATAAAAGTGCAAATGTAAACTTCTCTTGCTTAGTCACTCTCATAGTTAAAGGTGGGGTATGTCATTTATTTCAGAAACACTTTTTGTTATATTCCATGGAATGCTCTTAACATCCCGATAGCAATGAATATATGAAATGCTTTGACAATAAATACATTAAAAAAATTAATCTGTGGAAGCCGTAGCGCTGTAAAAAGCACGACCAATAATTTTAGCCGGCCCGGCAAAAATAACTGGATGGCCTACCTGCCTGTCAGCCTTCCATCTGTGCACAAACTTATCTCGTGCCCGGTCATGTGCGCGTTCGTGTGTGTTGGAGGAGGGGCTCTGTAAGGAAGTGGCAGATTTTTTCCGGTTGTGTATTTTCAAATTCTAGCACACTCGAGCTGGTTTCTCCAAAATTACCTACCCCACCTTTAAGTACCTGAGGTTGAAATTACTACTTATTTTCAACCAATCATTGTGTATTACTTCTCCCACCAGCAGATGGAGCCATTTGAGATGAGAAGCTAAATGTTCTGAAGCACTAATTAGTAGGCAATTATTTTGTTGGCCAGCAGTGGGCTTGGGCAACGGTCCCAACAAGAGCCAGTGAACTGAAGCACTAAAACTCCAACTGTATTCATAAAAACGGCTTGTGTGAACAATGGTTTCCCATGCAATTACAGCTACAATCAGATAACTCATTGTTTCCTTGAGCATGAAAACAGGAATTACACGAAGAAGAAGAAGAGATTGGTTTACTATAATCAAAATGGATTTTACTCAAGTGTCCAAAATAATTTTACGGTTGTCATAAAGCTCTACTTTGTCCTTCATCACTAGACACTAGAAAGGAGATTATTCCCGTATCCACCGTCCTGAAAGATACAGATCCTTGTTTTTTGTCCCAAAATCATACATCAGTCAGGCAAAACCTATATTTTGTTCTATGTCAGTGTCTGTAAGCCAGTGGGAAGGAAAGGTGAGAGGCAAAGATCTGCTTCTCTCTCTCCTTCTGTTTCTTTAAAGTCATGTTTAACTTATTCAGTATATGGACTATAAATACAGTTGCTGCTGTTGACACATGTCAGACTCTGAGGAAACAAAAACTAAATCATATGTGGTTGAAATGTGCATGAAAGCAGCTAAAGAATAAGAAAAGTAATGTGATTCAAAAGACACAAATATTGTAATGCTCTGTGTTTGTAGGTGAGCATGAGCACGTACGTGTGAAGTTGAAATAAGCATGTGTGTGTGTGTGTGTGAGTGAGGACGAGTAAGAAACAGAAGCTAGTTTTGTTTGTAGGCTACCAAAGAACCTAGTATGACAAAGCTTGCCCAAAAAGGTGTTGAGCAGAGGGGAACCCATGCATAGCATTTGAGTCTGATAACCTGAGATTTTAGTGAAGTTTCAGTTTTCAGACTCCACTCGAGTAAATGTTGCAAAACAATGTTAAACTCCCTTACAAGTTAAAAGTCAATATTTGAAAATCTTACACAAGTAAAAGTACAAAGGAATACCTGGCGAAGTGTACTTAAAGTAAAGGCACTCATTATGCAACCCAAAGACAAAAAGTGTTTTCATAAAAGGATTATTTTACTATTATATGTCAATGTTATGAAAGCCTTTGTGCAACTTAATCTTACAGTTCCTTGGGTTTAATAAAACAATTACTTATTTTTCTGTGAAAACCTTAAGTGCAAAGTAACACCAGCTATTAGATAAAATAAAGTATAGCAGCTGGGGGACAATTAGTATATCTTCAGTGTTATTGTTAATAACAAAATGATTACTAATTCTTAGTTGCAAAATCATCCAACTACAGTGGAACATTTGAGAGACTGAGGAGGTGTACCTGATGTACAAAACAACACGTCACACAATTGTTCATGAAAAATAATATTTGAGTGCGGAGATGGACACTTGTTATTCTCTATCTGGCCAAACAGAACATTCTTTTTGAAAGTTGTTGGTTTTGCTTTTTTCTTTATTTCAGTGTTTTCCCCTATTGAGAACTTGACTGTGTTCTTGACATAGAGTTCCTAAGAGTGATTGGTATTAAAAAGGTAAGAAGTAACTCAAAACTTGACATCAGAAGTTACACTTCACTTCTGGCTATTCCAATGGTGTTTGACATTAAAAATCAAGAAATGGAGATGCATAAAAATACCAAGCAGCTCAGAGCCTTCAAGCACAGAAGTAGTGAGAACAAATCTGACACACATACACTGATGGCAAATGAAGTGAGAAGAATGGATATTATTGAAAGTCTAAAAAAAGAAAGGAGGCTGCTCACATGAGGCTCTACAGAGAGAGTTCATCGTTATAACATTTATTTGATCTATTTACAGACAGTACAGTCAACTGAACAGAAGAGAGGAGAATTTATTACTATTCTAAACAGCATGGCTGCACTGCGATCCAACAATGACTACGGCAACAAATTGTGAATTCACAAAGATGACTATGTACAAATTAATACTTTTAACTGAAAGGTTGTAAAAATGAAAAAGGATGTGGGATAAATTAATGTCTTCTTGAGAATATAGTATAGGGTAAAGTAAGAGTGTTTTGAAACAGTTTGACGTGTTATTTTCCAGACACTGTTTTTTTGCTAGACAGAAAATGTGTGCTGCAGTGTGATGTAGTGCAAAGAAGAGAAATGGAGATGAAAAACGGCCTTTTTACACAGTCAGTGCACACGCTTCTGGATCATTTTAGTCAGAGAGTGATATTCCATGTGTGCGCTCTCGCTGCAGTCCGTTTTCATGAGTGACACGAGAAATGCCTGAGGTGAGGGAACAGCGCTGGAGACACAGAGTGTACTGTGTCCGTGAAGAAACAGCTGAGCAGATGTGTGTGTTCCTGTGTTTGTATTTATGGGGTCAGGCCAGCTGTGTCAGCATGCAGTGTGCTCCAAAGCATTGGAAAAGAATATATGGGTCACGCAAAATTTGGAACAGCTAGTGTTTGTTAGCAAATGCTCTGATCCTAGTGCTGTAAAACAGACGTTTTCATGGTCAAATAATAAAAAGCAGGGAGAAAAGGTTTTATAAACATGTGAAAAGATGTGTTGTTTGTAATTGGCTAAAGTGCATTGTTAGATTCTGTACACTGGAGGGGGGGGGGGGGGGGGAGTAGACAGTTTGGCACTGGTCGTCGCCGGTTTGTCGTGAGCATGTCCTCGAGCTAACGTCTCCAGAAAGTAATCCACAGCAAATCCGCTCAAAGGTTCACACAGATACAAACCACACAGAAGGGAAATGTCTGGACAAGTTCAGTCCGAGCCTAATGCATCCACTTCTCCTCGCTTTATGTGTCTGAACTAGTTTATCTTCAGGCTGCTGTTGACTCACAGTAGATGCTGGCCGTAGCTTATCACTATATCCTTAGTTTGAACTAATTAACACTCATTTCTAAGGCATGTGATAAAAGCTTACTTCATGTATTTGACCTTACATGTTCACTTTAATTGAATTATGAAATAAAGGGAGGAGACCTGGATGCATTCTGGGCCAATTGTGACTGACAAAGAACTTCAAACCGACTTTGTCGAGGGTCCTGTCCTATAGTCAGGTAAAGGGAGAGGTGAAAGTTCAAAGGTTTTTCACACCGGGGAAGTACCTGAGCTAGGCCGCCCGTCCTGTGCTTGCTGTTGGGGTCGGGGGTGGGGTTTGCACTGGAGGGCCGAGGGAGTGACGTAGGTGAGGCAGGGGCTGTCAATGTCCCCCTCTCCCACCAGAGTCAGGTCGGACAGCGTGTCCTCCTCCAGCATCTGGACAGATTCTTCCCTGGAGTCCTGGAGGAGAGCAGGCTGGGCCCCCCGGGTGGACGGGTGGATGGGGGAGATGGTGCCAGGAAACGGAGGGGGTGGCCTGCCTTTCCTCCCCCCTCCACTCTCAGTTCCCAGCGCGGAGTCCAAGCTCTGGGACTGATGGCTCGCCTTGAGCATGTGGCCGCCGCCCCCCCCCGCCTCCTCCTCCTCCCCTGTCATTGCTATTGGCCTTATTGCCCCTGCGACCGCTGCTGGGGAGGCTGCCGTTGTTGGGGTTACGGGTGGAGCAACTGGGCTCAGTGTCGTAGGGAGGAGGCGCGGCCCGGTTGGTTGTCACCGGCGACAGGCGCAGAAAGTCTGGGAGCTGCAGGTCGCTTTTGTTTAGCAGGCCTCGCTGGTCGTCTGCTCGGTTGCTCTGAGCTTTGGATATGAAGTCGAAGAACTCTGCGGACACACACACACACACACACACACACACACACACACACACACACACACACACACACACACACACACACACACACACACACACACACACACACACACACACACACACACACACACACACACACACACACACACCACACACACACACACACACACACACACACACACACACACACACACACACACACACACACACACACACACACACACACACACACACACACACACACACACACACACACACACACACACACACACACACACACACACACACACACACACACACACACACACACACACACACACACACACACACACACACACACACACACACACACACACACACACACACACACACACACACACACAAATGAATAATCTCCCACATTAACATCTTGAAAACACTTGTAATTGAGAAAGCATGCAGCAGAGGGTTTGTATTAATTAGTTAGACAAGTCAAAGCTACATTCAGTGTGAGCAGAGGTGACTGTGCTACATGTAGCTAGCTAGCTTTGGAAGGTGCTGCGTCTACAACACGGCAGACAGGCCAAAGGGTTAGTGTGATCACAGCAACCAAGCTACGGAAACAAAAGAGACAGAGAGAGAGATGGAGGTCGTTCAGTCTTTACCTTCAGCTTCGTCTATATTAATCTTTTTCTGCTTTCTTTTCTCCGGAGCCTTATGGAGAGAGACAGAGTGGTTGGGTAAGGGCTGGCTGCCTGTGTCAGGGCCGTTTTCCCCATGGGGGCGGGCTGAACCGGCTTTCCCTGACGGCCTGTCCTCCCCCTGGAGGGCCACAAGGAGAGCGGAGGGGGCTGTTAGAGCCCTGGTGAGTGAGGGTGGTACAAGTACGGGCGCAAGTAATGACAACACGGTGGGGACTAGTGCTACTGACGGTGGGGAGGGTGATGAAGGGTCAAATGAGAACAATTTAACAGGGGGAAGGGGGCAGATGTTTTTGATTTGGACAATTAAATGGATAATGAATTTGGTTTGTGTGATTCATCATCAATGACATGTATAGAGAGTAATTCTAGTAAAACATATATCTATGTTAGATTCTTATAGAAAGACAGATGGGATGTTCCATTCAGACAAGCACAATGCTTAACACTGTGTGCTAAGCATCACCAACACGTAGGCTAACAGTACAACACACCACAACACCAGAGGAACCAACTTCCTACTTCATAAAGCCGCACTACTGCCCTTCAAGTGGGATACAACTAGCATTTTCAAAAACCTATAAATAATCAACCAACAAAGCAATACATGACCTTTACAGATGGCCACCACTCAGGATAAAAGAATACTTCACCCCCAAAATGATCATTTGTATATCAATTACTCACCTAGGGTTACCTTCATTTATTTTTTGTTAACTTTTCTCACATGCCTCCACAGTGAATGACATGAGTACAAAAACGGATTAAACTGTTGATCAATTGAGGTATGGGCGTCACTTTTAACAACAGTCGAGCTATAAATAAAGGATCCTTTACTAACTGACACTCAACTCGTGTTTTTCCATTTGAGTCCGAAGTACAGTTTCGCAAGAGTTGCTAAACAGTTGTTTTGATATCATTTAGCTATTGTTACACAACTGTTTTTGCATTCTTTGTTTTTGAGACATGCATGAAAAGTTGTCACAAATTCAAGGTAACACAGGGTGAGTATTTGAAATTGCAAATGATCATTTTGGGGGTAAAATATTACTTTGAAGCCACAATCATAACAAGAAAAACCCGCACAGCATTCTACAGTTCTACTGCCACCACCAACGAAGAGCTTTCCAGGCGCACAGAGGGGGTCTTTGAGGCTCGGAGACCCAGCAAACGCTGCGGCAGGCTGGGCTCTGATGGCCCTGCCTCTTGGTTTGTTATGGAAGAAAGAGAACCAGCAAACCAATAGAGAAAAGTTGACGATGCATTCGGCCACAGGCACACCATAAAAATGGAACATTAGGAACCTGGAGAGAGTGACAGGGCTCCGCAGCGACAGTGCACATACAGTAAATAAACACACACAGCCCCAACGCCGACAGAAACATATCATACACCTGCGCACATTTCTGACACGTTGCAAACAGACATGGGGGATTGACGACAGCGAGAGAGACACTTAGTAGCGTGACATCATCAACCGGGAAGTGGAGACATTCTGTGGGTTATGGAACATTCCAGAGCGAGAAGGAAACGGGCAATAAGATGCTGGGAGGGGATCTTACTGTTGTCGATTGGTTTCTGCTGGTGGAGGCCGCGACGAGGTTCTTTGAGGGAGCTGCTTTCTGTTTGTCTGCTGGATGAAGAAAAGACATTGAAACAGCAATACATATACACGTTTTTTGTTACTCGATTAAATGTTTTAATGATAGCAACTGCATGTGTGTTCCTAACCTTTCGCTGGAGTGTTTTCTGCAAGATCTAATACCACTCGAAGCCCGTCCAGGTTGGATATAGGAAGACCGAGATCTAATGGCTCCATCTCCCCACTCTGCATCACACAGAACATGGCGTCATCACATGTGCTGACTGTATGTCTTTCTGTCTATCTGAATGAGTATGGACTTACAATGCGTGCCACTAAGTTGGCCAGGTGCAGGCCGTATTTGGCCACCACAGGCCTGAGGACCTCCGCCACAGGCTTGGTTGGTTTTGCTTTTAGGCCCACAGAGCGGTTAATAGGAACCAAGTCGAGTCTGGAAAAGAAGAAAGAAAATGTTCTGTAGCAGTCAAATAAGTTGTAATCGTGCAACTGATATATTAGGGGGCATTGTGGGTAAAGATATGAATGGATTACAGGGAAGGAAGGGATAAAAAACGCAAAGGACATATGTTCTCCTGGACCTGATGGCATCCCTGGCCGTGTTCTCAGGGTGTGTGCAGTTCAGCTGGCAGAGGTGTTCACAGACATCTTCAACAGGTCCCTGCTGCAGTCTGTAGTCCCCACATGTTTTAAACACTCCACCATCGATCCTGTCCCCAAAAAGACAATCATCACCTGCCCCAACGACTACCGCCCAGTAGCACTCACCTCCATCATAATGAAGTGCTTTGAGCGGTTAGTCAAATTATTCATCACCTCCTCCCTCCCTGACTCTCTGGACCCCCTGCAGTTTGCCTACAGAGCAAACAGGTCCACAGACGACGCCATAGCCCTCACCCTCCACACTGCCCTCTCACACCTGGACCCGAAGAACAGGAACACATATGTGAGAATGCTGTTCATTGACTACAGTTCAGCATTCAATACCATTGTGCCCTCCAAGCTGGCCATCAAGCTCAGAGAGCTCGGGCTCAACAGCGCCCTCTGTGACTGGATCCTGAACTTCCTGACGGGCAGACCCCAGGCAGTGCGGGTGGGAAACATCACATCCTCCACCCTGATTCTCAACACCGGTGCCCCTCAAGGCTGCGTGCTCAGCCCTCTCCTCTACTCCCTGTTCACCCACGACTGCGTGGCCACACACAGCTCCAACACCATCGTGAAGTTTGCTGATGACACGACCGTCATCGGCCAGATCACAGACGACGAGACGGCGTACAGAGAGGAGGTCGAAAACCTGACATCTTGGTGCCAGGATAACAACCTCCATCTCAACATCAGCAAAACAAAGGAGCTGATTGTGGATTACAGGAAGCAGCAGGGAGAGGGACACGCCCCCATCACCATCAATGGGACTACGGTGGAGAGAGTCAAAAGCTTCAGGTTCCTTGGGGTCCACATCACTGAGGACCTGACATGGTCTCTTCACACCACCACCATCACTAAGAAAGCTCGACAGCGGCTCTTCTTCCTCCGCAGGTTGAGGAGGTTCAAAATGGATTCCAGGATACTCTGCAACTTCTACAGGTGCACGATAGAGAGTATCCTCACTGGCTGCATCACGGCCTGGTACGGCAGCTGCACCGACCTCGATCGTAAGGCTTTACAGAGGGTGGTGAAAACTGCACAGCACATCACCAGGACGGAGCTGCCATCCATGGAGGATCTTTACTCCCAGCGGCTCAGGAAGAAATCACTACGGATTATCAAAGACCCCCATCACCCCAGCCACACACTGTTCTTTCTGTTGCCGTCTGGCAGACGTTACCGCAGCATCCTGGCAAGGACAAGAAGATTCGGAGACAGTTTCTTCCCGCGGGCAGTGAGACTGTTAAAAAATTGAACTGTTGAAACAACATCAAACATTCATCTGCTACTCAGTAGTATGTATCTAATACCTAATATATATATATCATTCCAATAACTTGTATATAGACTCGTACTGCACTATTCCACATCATAACTTTATTTCATTTTTATAACTATTATTATTTTTGTATTGCTCTTGCTCTTATTGTTATTATGTTATGTTATTATGTTGCATTGTTGGAGAAGCCTGTGACATAAGATTTTCAACTGCATAATTACTCTGTAGCTATGTCAGATTGACAATAAAGAACCTTGAACCTTCCCTCCTCACTAACATATCTCTGAGGCGTTTACTGTTTACCAGCAGCATCTTTTGTCTAATGAGGTTGATCCCCTCTTGCAGTGAGTTTTGTTCTCATGAATATACCACATTATTCCCGTAAATAGAATCTCAAGTTTTTTTTCTGATACATTCATGACTTTATTCTTGGAAATTCAGAAGTTCTTCTCAGAATTATCCCCAGGCAGTCATTTTTTTTTCTCACTTCAATGGCCTATAACTGTGGTTTCACAACGAGCATTTTTTCTCTCAGTTTTACTCAGTACAGGTTTGAAGTGTTGTAAAGCTTATAGTTGTTCTCAAGATAAACGTACCTGAAGAGAGTGCGTTTTTCTAGTCGAAGGTCCCGCGAGCACAACGTCAGACAGTCTTGGTCTAACACAAGTGGCTGATGGAGTGAGGCAGAGAATACGAGAGAAGTTATTATGCAAAATGTTCAGGTATTTGCCCAACCCTAAAGTGCAATCAGTTAAATAGAACAGCAAAAGATAAAACATGTGAGGATTACAGCTCTCTGAACCACTGACTGATTGGAAGAAAATGTGGTACACTTCAATCCACTACATTTGACAGCGTTAGTCACCAGTGTCTTTACAGATTATTAGGTAATACAAAAAATGTTCAGATACCCAGCAGCAGTATCGTATTTAGTACTTAAAATTAGCTCCACATTTAACTGCTCTGATAAACATGCTACCGAATCAATAATCATAATCCAGTCATTTAATATAAATGATTCTCAAATGGGTCATTACCCATAACAAGTACTACAACTTTTGATACATTTTGATGCCAATACTTTGGTACTTTTACTTTATTAAGATTTCGAGTGTGACTTATAATAGTATAACATGAGTATTTTTTTAAATCAGTCTTGCTTCTTTAAGTTAAGAACTTCTTTCACACCTGCACATAACACATTGTCTTTGGACCTATTGTGTGTATACAAAATATAGATTATAGTTTCTTCAAGAAAAAGTATTGCCCTTTCAAGTTAAAACCAAATATTTTGTATATGTATCTTTGAACTTTGTTTGGCATGACTCATTGTGTTATTTGATCATTTGTATAAAGAATCTTTGAAGCCCCCATGAGAGGTCTTTTGGTCAGCAGCATGTGCACGTTGTGTTGTACCTTCTCCCCTCCGACCAAGAAGAGGTCTATAGCTGCCAGGTTGATGCAGAGCTTCTCACAGAGGCCCAGCAACAGCTCCCTGATGGACACCCCTGCCCTCAGTGGCACTGAGCAACATGAGCCGTCCGGCAGGCTTATGTTACACTGCCTCAAGGGGGCGCTGCTCCCCCCACGCTCTGCTGACACCGAGACTGCACCGCGGGAAGCATCCACCTGAAGGAATAAAACCGAGACAGAGAGTTAGGGGGAGAGGAAAACGTGATAGTAAAAAATGTAAGAGAAACAAAAAGCATTATTTTACTATTCTCAATGTTTTTATGCTCTTATAGAAGATAAATTGATAGGAAGAGGCTGCAGGTGAAGCTGCTTAGCGAAGAAATGAATGACTGTGTGCCTATGACTGCAATGTCTAAACTAATTATCAGAGGGGGATGTTTCATTGCAGACTGACCTCATTCTTCCCCGACCCCGGCGTCCCCAGCTCCAGACTGGCTCCTGAAGACAGCGAGCCCTGGGACTCACGGCGACCATTGCTGCCAGAGAAATCTGAAAGAGAATACACACATCAGCCAAAGGGGAAATCTACAAACCTCTACGTCCAACTTGGAAAATAGCCCTCCAATTATGCGGCAATCTACACAAACAATAAAATGTTAAAAAACTTGTTAAACTACTCACTGTAGTTGAAGTCGGCCAGCTCTCGTTTTTTGGGGCCTTTGCCGAAGCTCCTGTTGCGCGACCAAGAAAAGAACAAGCCTTTCTTCCGATCTCCTGAATCATCCTTAGAGTCATCATTTAAAGACCTGCCCGACTTGCTCTTTTTGTCCTCCTATAAGACACAAACAAAATCAATTAAGGGACACAAGGACACAGGTGCCAACACAAGAAACCAAGCAGAGGATAAATGGATAAATAAAACTTGATGTGGGACGACACCAAAGTAAATACAGGCAAACAAAACGCTGTGCTTTTATCACACCCGACTGAATCATCTGTTGTACTAGGTGGCAATGCCCAGTCTTATTCCAGATCTTAGAAAAAGGTTTGTATCTATTACAAACATTTCACAACACTAATGACAAGACGCTGCCAAATGGAAAATACTTGTGGAGGCTTTGCGTTGCATCTTACCTTCTTGGGTGTTGACAGGTTGGAGCGGTCGGAGCTGGTGGTGCTGTTTTTGGAGTTGGGGCTGCTGGGGATGTGGTAAGGGTCCGGCAAGGGTCTTCCCTCCACCTCCGCCAGCATACACTCCTGGTACAGCAGAGACTTGAGGAACCGCGTGTAGCTGTCGAACTTCATCAGGTTAAAGATCTAAATAGGTGAAAAGGAAGGAAAGGAGTAATCAGCAGGCAACAGAAAAATACAGGAAGGAATGAACAAACACAGAACAAAGAGGGTAGCAGAAGGCTCAATGAAATAAGGAAAAGCGATGGAAGACAAGAAGAGATGGGACAAAATGCAATGGCATAAGGATTTAAAACTAAAAGGTAAATTAAAAGGAGAAAAGAAGATGGTTTGAGAGGATTAAGAATTGCAAACTAAAAAGTAACACTGGTAAAATGGATGACAACAACATGTTGAATGCAAGGGGAATTAGGACTCAAGATAAAGACTCATATCCCACGAGCAGCCCCTTCGGGTAGTTCCTATTCACAAGGTGTGTTTTCTTGGAATCCTAAAAAAAAAGTGTTTCTTTCCCACCATGTGAGTGTGAGTGTGTGTGTGTGTGTGTATGTGTGTGTGTGTGTGTGTGTGTGTGTGTGAATACATTTGCCCCTCAGAGATAGCCTTTTTTGCATTTCAGATACTGGAACAGAAGCTCCCTGTGTGACAGAAGTGTTTGCTAATCACAATCGAGATTTTAATAAAAAAGTGTTGACTTTGTGTTTATCAGCTACCTGCAGCTGCTGCTCCTTGAACATGTCAGGTCGGGGGGCGTTGAGAATGTCGTCGGCAAGTTGGGCTTGACTATCGATGTTGACCGGTGTTGTGGCTTTACTGGACAGGAAGCTGTTGTAGATCTCCCTGGCGCGCTGAGAGAGCTGGAGAAGGTCGATATGTAGATAACAAAAAGACACAGAGTAAGGAATGAGTTAGAAGAAGAAGAGGAATTACAGGAGCTGATTAAAGGAAAACGTCACCTTAATAATGATCGTTTTTATAGCAATTTCACAGATTAGAATCTTGATAAATCCAATCAAATGGTGCCCTGTTAAAAAACAGCAAAACTATAGTAGAGTAATTAATATAAAAATTGTAATTTTGGGGCTGAAATGTTCGTCTAACATGTAACATTTCCCCTCATTATTGTGGTGTAAATGGAAGCATGTGTGTGATCAATGTCCTGCATGTCAGTTACCTGCTTCTTGTCATTCTCAGGCACGTGGCTAAAGAACTCACAAGCCTGCCAGAACAGGATGTTCTCCTCGCTGAACTCTTTCTTTAGGAACTCCTGCAACACAAGCATAAACAATTAGGAAAAGCTGGCAAATGTATGGAAACATATCCGTAATGTGAATGTGCCATGTGTGTTACAGTACCGAGAAGTAGCGGACCCCCACAGGGTCCTGCAGCAGCCTCTCGAAGCAGACGGCCCAGCTGGCCACTCTCCGCTCCGTGTGGCGCCGGTGGCTCTGAACACTGGGCAGGCTGGCATTACTGTTCAGACTGTTGTCGCTGCTGCAGCCCTGCAGCTCCACACTGTTTAGTTCTGTACAACACAAACACACATACAATCAAATAGTTGGAAGTGACTTCAGTGACAACTCTTTGTCCTTCTCAATACGATACGGTGGTGCAATGATTAAATATGTTCTCATCTCAGTTTTTTTTTATCACCATTCTTTTTACAGCAATGGTGGTTTTGGGTGGGTGATATGATTAAAGCTAAAGGGATAGTTACGCACAGTTTTTTTCTTTGTCTGCTTTAATAAGGCAAGAGTAGCAGTCTGTCCAGTGAACTTCCCCGACCCACATGTGTTTGGGCTGTGTTGTTGTTGCTTTGTCTTTCACTCTGCAACACAACTGGGGTTACGTACTGTAACCCAGCTTCTATGAGTATAGGCGCAGCCCTCTAAGGCTATCGCTATTGGGTAATCCCACTGCACACGTGCAGTGGGATTACCCAATAGCGATAGCTTTAGAGGGCGAAGCCTTATACGAAATAGAACACCCCTATAGCACACTTTCACTCATACTATCCCTCAGATACTGATATTAGAGATTTGATTTATCCATTCTCTCTTATTACTTTTACAGTCCAAGCAACAGGTTATGACATAAGATAATATACCACGATATGTCTTTTCCGTGTTTTAAGGGGAATTTGAAGCTTCACATTTTTGTCTTTTTTGTTGTTCTATTTAATTTATCCAAGTACACAAGAAGTTCCCATGTTATGCATTATATAAGATAGTGAACTCCACAGCCGCAACGTGAAATAGAACTAGGACCGTGAAGCCAGGGGGCCAATCACCCGTTCGCCATTTTTTCCTCAATGCTTGCGGCCCCTTGCTTTCGACCAGGCCCCCTTTGAAACTCAATCTAAACATTTTTATCTCAACTAGAAATCTGTTGTGAATGCATCTTAAACGGTGTCGCCTGGTTGCGGTACTCACAAAATCTGTCCAATGAAAGAAATACAAACACCTGGCAATTTACTCAAAACAACTTCTGGTGAAGTTACTGCCAAGTTAGTTGTCTCTCTGGGCAAATGTTGCCATGGTGACACACACACAAATATTTGCAAGGTGAAAAAAACCGAACCAGCTTTACATTCACGGCCTGTAAAGATGATACCCTTTGACAAGTATCACTAATAGCTGTTAAGTGTCCCTGAAGATCCACACGGCAGAACTGTTGAAATGTATTGACTTTATGCTCCTTTGTACATGTTATCTTTATCTGTGTCTAGCACTTGTATTTCACAGTCTATTTGATTTGGTCTTAGGCTGCAGCCACACGAGGACGATAACGGAAACGAACCGAAATCGTTATCAAAAAAGTATTCCGTCCACACGCAATAGACACCAGAAACGTGTCCGTTCACACGAGACCGCTCGACCCGCTGGAGACGCTGTAGTACATATGCCGGGCCTGTAAGTGGCACTGTACTTCTGCCACAAAATACACCAAAAGCAACGAAGAAGACTTCTCGCGCATGCATGGTTGCCATGGTTTCCCTTCTGTTTATTCTCCGCGCTGGATTTAGCAGAGGTGGGGTTTCGCCGGTCAACATGTCCGTTAAAGTTTAAATCTTCCGGACAAAATTATAAAAGTGCCGGTCAAAGGTCTTCTTTGTTATTTATTGAGCTTTAAAACAAATGAATAACGACTCTATATAATAATATAAGAATAATTCACGGAGGACGGAGCTTCTCTTTTTCCTCCCCCTCTCCTGACAGCCCGTCAGTATCCGTGGTCTCATGCAGCTGGCTGATCCAGTAATGAGTGACCCGACAGTAAAAATAAACATATTTATAACTAGTTTAGGTAGTTTGAGAGGTAATTAAAATAGCGAAGGGTGATGATCTAACTTGAAGTGTGTGTTTTGTTCCGCTCATCGCTCCATCACAGCGGGAGCTACGTGTCTCCTCTCCTGTCCGATTAAACTTCACTCGCGTTTATGTCCATATCGATCAAATCTAGCTGGAAGCTCCTGCTGGGTGCACTGTCCTGCGAGAAACCGGGACCTGGCTCGAAACACTGGGGCTATTGCGTGATCGTTAGCAGGAAATTATGGTTATAGGGCGTAGACACGGAACCGTTTGGCCCCCCAGAGCGTTGCGTCTGCAGATCTACCCACCTTGGGACCCGTTATCGTTATCTGCGTTTCCCTGTCGGCCTCGTGTGGCCGAACCGTCTATATGATAGAGAACTGTAGCGGATACGACCGTTATCGTCCTCGTGTGGCTGCAGCTTTAAACAAGTCCCAACAGTATTAAACTATTTTCTAACACCTTAAACACTAGCTACACAAAAGGAACTTCTTTAACATACAAATGAAGGAGTTTTGTATTTTGTGCACCACTAGGCCGATGCTGCGTTCCTAATGGATACACAGACTTGCAGAGCAAAGGTCCCAGAAAGAGGATGAGAATACCCAAAATAAGAGAGCTTCAGCCTTCAGGCCAGATCAACGGAAATGGGGATGATCAGTTGAGATAAAACTAAAAACAAGAACAGCCAGAGGGAGGGCATCAACGATCAGGTGCCCGAGAAGGAGCAATTCCTGAAAATAAACTGAAAGAGAATTGTGCCGCTCAAAGCTATTTCCTGTCTCTTTTTAAATGTAGGAACCCAGCTGCTAATGAATAAATCCAGCTTTGCACCTTAATCATGTTTATCAAAGAGAGTTTTCACAATAAGGTTATTTTTCTTCAGTTTTTCCAAACAGTTCATTCACTCGGATTCAGTTTCAAACTCTATAGTAAAGAGCTCTCAGGCTTTCGTCATCAAACTACTGCAGTGAATGAGAGGAAAACAAGAATCCATCAATTCTCTAAAACACTAATTAATTTCAATGTTTTATCTTCATCACAATCACAACACATCACAGTTCAAATAGATCAACAAACAAAACAAAAAGAAAAATTATCTATAAAGTCAGCAAATTATCAAGAAATTACACAGTAAGATATGACCTTTTCTAACACCTTCATTACTCAAATTAAATTAAATATTCAAAGAATAAGGTTCTAAAGGCCATGGAAACTTTAAAACCAATATAAAAGAGTATTTAATAATATAATAATTTAAACTGAGTTTTCACAGAGTTAATGTTAGATTGGTGAATATGTTTTGTAAACTGTGTTATCAACATTTAACTAACTAAGAATGCAACATTTCATCAGCCACTTAGTGTTATACAACTGTGAAAATGGACAATGAACTCAGTGAGCACAAAGTTCTTAAAAACAAAAACTCTAAAGCTGACACTAAATTCACTTTTATCTTGTAACGACTATGGTGAAATGAGACGTCAGAGCAACACTTTGCAACAGTAAACACATTCATACTAGTAACAACAGCTGCACTCACACATACGTAGAGACACGTTCATTCTGCAGCTGGAAGTTAAAAGAAAACCATTTATTAAACAAAACGTCTGTATGTTGTGACGGTGGGGATTCCTTTTAGAAATGGCTTCTCAGTAACTGAAACAAAGCTTAACTGATACTCAACATCAAAGCCTCTGCAGTCATTATGTCTGATCTTCGTTGCATATCATTTTAATTTAGTCAGATAAGGAGCACCTAAAGCAGCTGTGTCCTCACCTGGGTAGAGCTGATAGGAGCCTGTGTGGTGCCAGCGGGGAAGGTAGCGAATCCTGAGGGGTATCCAAGCCCCTCCATCCATACTAAGCCTATCAGGCCCCCCCTCACAAACTCAAACACACAAGGTGGAACCCAGAATCTGAGATGGGGCGCGCACACACACAAGCACAGCCTACAACATCACAGGAAGGAGACACCGTAAGACGGGAATAACAGGGAGAGAAGAAGACGAAGAGAGAGAGGCACCCTGGATGAATACCTGACTGACCACAGAGAGAGCAGGTCACAAACACACACACACAAACACACATACACGCAAAAACACACCACTGTGAGCTTCCAGGTAAGTGATATAAGCACACACAGGCCTTAAGGTGATGAATAATTCAGAGCCGAGGGACAACGGAACCAAAAACGGCCGGAGCACAAGCCCATAGTGCACTAACAACACACAGACACACACACTTGCATACACACACACAATAAACTGCAGTATTGATGAGGCGCTTGTTAAAGGAGGGCTACTACTGAGACTAATGAGGCCTACAGCCCCCATGTAGCACACACACAGAAAGAACCAGCTAGAATGTCTGTCAAAAAAAAGTATTCTGTACTTACTATGGGCCTAAATTACTTTGTAAGTGCTGTCTTAAAGGTGGGGTAGGTAATTCACTTCAGAAACACTTTTTGTTATATTCCATGGAGTGCTCTTAACATCCCGATAGCAATGAATAAATTAAATGCTTTGACAACAAATATATACATTTCATCTGTGGAAGCCGTGGCGCTGTAAAAAGTGGCCCCGGCCCGGGGCAGATAACTGGATGGCCTACCTGCCTGTCAGCCTGCCATCTCGTGCACAAACTTATCTCGTGCCCTCATTGGTCATGTGCGCGTTCGTGTGTGTTGGAGGAGGGGCTCTGTAAGGAAGTCTGAAGGAAGGGGCAGATTTTTTTCGGTTGTGTACTTTCAAATTCTAGCGCACTCGAGCTGGTTTCTCCATTCTTACCTAGCCTACCAGCGTCCACACAGCAGCGTTAAAAAAATCTTGGAGGTGGGCGTATCTGAAGCTTGGGGATTTTTTGTGAGCAACGCGACCAACAACCAATCACATGAATCTCCCGCCCCCGACATACAAAGCAAAAAAGCCCGAAGTAAACTGGATATAAACTCCCCAAACAGGCGAAAACCTACCACTGTCTCTGCCACCTCCCTCCATGCCTGGCTCCTCCGGTTTGTATCCCGGTAGGTAAATAGGGACTGGTCATAAAGCACCGGGTGATTCCCTACCGCAATAATTAATTTCTCCTCCATTTTTTGGAATATGAGGAAATGACCTGCGGTATGTCTCTCCCAGCTTACACGCGGTTTGATTGGCAAGCGCTTGAACTGTCAGATTTGCATAAACGGGATTTGATTGGCTGACGCTTCCACCTCAGCTTCAAAAGTTGAACATTGCTCAACTTTTGAATACTGAAAATCCTGAAAATCTCCGCTCTGCTTCCCACAATGCAGTTCAGCGAAAAGTGAGGCAAAGTGACGTCACCCCATTCAAAGTGAATGGGCAGAAGCGTTGGAAGATTTTTTTAACGCTGCTGTGTGGATGGGCCGTTACTGTTGTATTTCACAATTGAAATGTGTTATTGTCTGCACAGAAGAAATGGTCTGAATTCATGCGTAAATAGGATATTCATTCAAATACAAAATGAGGCATGAAATGTAATTAATGTTATTTTCACAAATAACATAAAATGCTCTCCACCAGGCATAATCGTTTATTCAAATGTTTGAATGAGTGAGCGTGTGTAGTTCTAGTCTAGTCTGTTTGTGGCTAATCTCAAATGATAATGGTGGATAGAGATATAGATGTATAACACTCGACTAGTAAATGATAAACTGTAACGACACAAAGATTGTTTTCTACTTAGCTGTTAGCATTTTGTGAGCAGCAGAGTGCTATGCTAATGTTACCTGCAGATTGTCTCCCTTTCAATGCACTATTGTCATGCCAGACCCACAGCCTGGTCTGCACTAGTCTCTACCAACATTTCCGAAAACATCACACTTTGATTAACTTTATCCTTCAAGATATACTCTTTACTCAAGGGTACATTATTGTGAGCCATCTTCTTGGTTTCTACACAGAACTATGGATAAATGATCACGTTAGCTTTCAATCATACTTCATTTGTGTTCACAAGTGTCCTACTGTAAGCATCTACAAGACGGTATGGGTGCACGCTAAATTAAAGGGTTTGAAAGTGTCAAATTCTATTTCAAATCGTAATATGTTTGACTGGTGCGTCTCACTACGGAGCAGATTATAGCAACTTTCCCACAGAATTGTTAGTTGTGCTAAGATCACAACCATTATTTAACCATCACTGAGTTAATGCATTTCTCATCTCATTAACTCAGAGTGCAGACTGAATAAACTACCAAACTCCCGCCCTTTTCCTTAGTGTTTACCTGTTATGCCATCTCAGAATAAGCAATACCAAGCAGCAAGGACAAGACCAATGGATAGCTGTTGCCAAATGCAAAAATAAATAAAATAGACTGACATGAAGCTAGTTGATGTCTGTATGGACTTCACTTAAAATATGTTGGCAATAGTTTTCTATACTCCTTCTACTAGTAAAAATAACAAAGAGGGCCGAATCAACATTTTCACGCTCTCCACTTTACCCACAAACAACCCGTCCTCTCCACCACACGACTGTGGCGTGAACAAATGGCTATAAACACTTCTACATCGGAGCTGGTCTTTTTCTCACCTCCTCTTCCTCCACTAATCCCCCATCTGCCATATATCATGCCTTTCATGTGCATTTGTGAGGTGTTAAAGCACCATTAGAAGACTCCTAAATTAGAGAACTTTTGTTAATGTTGGCACATGTTAATTGTGGACGGCACCAACAGTTAACTTCAAATTAGGGCCAATACAACACAAGTTGATGAAGGAACACAGGATAAGAAAAACAATGCCTGGAAGCTGTGAAATGCAAATAAAGCAACAGGCCAGCAGACTACAAAAATAATTAGGACATGTTGTTTTGTTATCAAATTGCATTTTGGTAATGAATTTATAAATATTAAACTATTGTATTAAAATTCCCAAAGAGCTGCAACAGTGCGTCAATTAATGAATGAGTGAAGCAAGAGGAAAACAATTGGCAACCGTTTGGATTATTTGTTAATATTTTCAGTCATTCTTTAAGCAAGTATGGTGAAACAATTCCAATATTCTCTGATTCCAGCCTTCAAAATTAGAGGATCTTTTGACTTTCTTCGTCATATATCATTGTGAAGTAATAACTACAAAATATTTGTGGGTGCAAGGACTTTTGTTCAAACTAAACCAGACATTTCAAGACGTCATATTTGGGTCTGTGAAGTTTGGATGGCTGGTTTTAACTATTTTTACATTAAATGATATTTGTTTACCTTTAATCTGTGGGCATATAGCATGCCCTATCCACCACAACAAGTTGTTTTTGTGCAACCAACGTTTACAAAGACTTTGTCTTTAGGTTGCCGCGGAGGTGGGGCACACGTTGAGCAGGTTGAACCACTAAGTGGAAGCAGCCAGATAATAAGGAGGTTTCCAACATGAAAACAGCCATACTCCTACTAGACGTCAGAACTGGACATCCGGCCTAACATAATAAATCCTTTTCCTTATCCCATTAAATGCTACTTAAACTAGATTACAAACACTGAATGATGAGGGAAGCCAATTAAATAAACCACTAAGAGATCATGAGAAAAGTAGAGAGGTTTTGTCAGATGTTGTGGAGACGTGTTTACTCACCTCCATCGGAGACTGCAGTGGACTGTAAAAAAGCACAGAGAGACATGGATTAGGAGATTCCCTCATCACACAGATGACACATATTCATACAAGCTCACACAGTAAATGAGCACCAGGAGGCAGCTGCCCGGGCATGTTCACATGCAGACACACACACACACTAACTCCTGTGTTTCTCACAGGACCTGGCTCATTAACACACACACACTTTTCACATCATGACAGAGTCAGGTTAGCGCCCACAGTCTTTGTCTTGTGTGTGGGTGGAAACCTCTGTGAACTGACTGTGCTTGCTCTGCAGGAAAGCCTCCTCCGAGGGGCGGGGCTTATTGTGTGTGTCGGCAGAGTTGAGGAAGAGGGGAACTTTCGGCCTACCTGCCCCCAATTTCACGGGGGACTGTGATGTTTTTTTCTACTCAGATTTTCAACCACAGAGTCACAGATGTCTTTTCAGACACATTTTAAAAAAAAATAAAAAGAATCCTTTGAGAGTAATCGTACTTTCATTACATAGAAGAACACACACAATGCAGTGATTTTTATGCCAGACATGCTGTGCTGGGATGATGAGATCATCCGACACAGACATCAGTAATGTAGCTATCTAACACTGTTGAAATGCTCTGTGACTCAGAAAGTGCAAAAGGACAAGCGAAAGAGAGAAAGGCTGGAGGAAGCGGGAGCAGTATTAAAGAGTGTTGGTCTCTGTATAAATAATCCACACTGAGCCACACTGTAAATCTTTTGATGCTGTTAACCCGTCAGCTAATCGTGCTAATGGCAGGCTCGTTGATGGAAAGCAGGTTATAGAGTATCTACGAGGGCATGTCTTGTTGTGAGGGTATTTTCTATGGCACATTTGCATTTTAATGACCTTATCATGACTCAGCACGACACATGGAAGGTTCCTGGATGACTCATATTTCTGTGAATTTATCTCCGGGTCATCAGTTAGACATGTTTTTAACTTTAAGAAATACTGAACCCCCCCAAAAGCTAGTTTGTATATCAATATTCCTCACACTGTTTAACCTTAAATTTGTGTCGAAAAAACGTTTTTTCGACACAAGGCTTCTGCTGTGAAAGAAGAGTTGATGGACCTGGATGATATGGCACAACTTGTGTGAGCTTTTTTGACATGGTATTTCTTTTGTTAAACATGGCCCTAATTGCTTTTAATTAATCAAGAATGTTCTCACTTTGACTATGCGTTCACTGTTGAGGCATGGGAGAATAACAGTTTTGTTATGGAGTTCAAAGTAGCCGCAGAATGAGTAGTTTTGGCAATGAAGTTTCACTTTAAAATGAGTTTTAGCATACTTTGCTGTAAATGTACATTATATGTCAACTACACACTGAACAGCATTTGCACAGGTGTTCCTGAAAGTGAGTTCACACCCTGCCTTCACCCACAGACTCATACAGAGGTATCACAGCTGCTAAATCCCCTCACTGTGCATGGGGAACCAGTAGAGCACATTTACTTCGCTTAGAGAATATACATCAGATTTCTGCAGTAAACTGATATATTAAATGTATATTACGAAAGACGCCCAGTTTACACCCAGTGTATAAGTAAAGCATTAGCGAGCTGGAAAAATATTGATGTATAAAGCGCCTTTCTAGTTTCCCAACCACACAAACTGCTTTTTTACACACACACACACACACACACACACACACACACACACACACACACACACACCACACACACACACACACACACCAACACACATCACACACACACACACACACACACACACACACACACACACACACACACACACACAACACAACACACACACACACACAATCTTCCAATTGGTGCATTACTCCGTTAGCCTCAATCCCCCCCAGGCATGTGTATGTACTTAACTGCGTTGCTAATGCAGTTCCTTCAAGAACAAATGCATGAAGAGTTGCGACAGGGAGCCTATTGATAGACAAGATCTTTACTTGTAGAAGTGAAATGACTGAAACTGAAGCTAACTACAACAAATAAAAATAGAACCTGGATAATCAGTTTCCCTCAGCTAAACAGTACTCTGTATATTTCATACTGTAAGGGACAGAAACTGAACCTTGTGGCCTGGAAGCCGCCTCTTATAGAGCTAACACACTGAAAATTATAAATATGCAGATTTAATTGCAGATCGCAGGTAACCAAAGTGCACTCTCAGATTTCCCACCATAAATCCTGCTTTAGATTCATTGCACAGTAAAAAACGAATGGAAGCTAATGATAGTGAGAGAGAGCGACTGCTCCTATAGCATATGTGCTGGTTGGTTAATGTGCATCTTGGTCATTCCCTCACTTGATCCACCTGCCCCGGCCAGATGGCAGTGCCAGCGTAATCTCTGGGATTAGCTATTTCCGACTGTCCTTGGAGGAGCAGAGGTTGGCACTGGCGTGTGAAAGGAGATTTGATGTGACTTTATAGTGGTTGATTGTGGTCGCACAGGACGTGAGGAAAATGAGAAGTGGAAAGTATAGTTACCTGATCCTTACGCTGGTCACACTCCCACACATTTCCACAGTGTGTATTCTGTGAGTGTTTCATGTTTGTGTTAAGACATGTGTTTTTATATGGAGTGTAGCCCACAATTATGCATGTGCTCGACATCTGTTCGAGATGTCCTTTGTATGTAGGGTGGATTTTTCTGCATATGTGTTCACCCCCCGACTCAATTCAGCTCCGGTGTGATCACTTCCAGACGTTCTCTGTGGTTTGGCCCCTCGTTGATACCCCTCTCCTCTCCTTTCCTCCCTGCACCTCTAACCCATTTCAAACCCCCTCCTTTTGTTTCTTCTTTTCCCCTCCACTCTTTCTTCCTCTGTATCCATTACCACATCTCCTCCTTCCACTCTTCCCGCAGGTTATTCCCTTCTTCACTCCCTCTCTCTTTCAACCTTTCCCCAGTCATTCCAGTGGTGTTCCCCCTCCTCTCCTGGCAGATCCTGGTCATTCCTGTCAGCCCACAGGGAAGGACTGGGGTTTTCCAGACTCTCCCTTCTCAAGGTTCTCTCCCAAAAGCCCTTCTTTACAGAGCATCTGGAAAGGGTCATTCTTGATAACAGAGAATCATAACATCCCCGGCCTACAATATGTCACAAAGTGCTTTTAGCCTCCATTGCTTTCAATCTTCTCTACATTAGCTTGGCACACATTACTGGCAGGAGGGATTTACCGCTATGTCAAAGCCCCAATAATGTCTGTGGTTGTTTTCTGCTGATGCTGATTGTTCACAGATAATAATGGGGCTTTTATGTCCCATATATTATACAGTTAATGCACTGAAACCATCAGCAGAAAAAAAAATGACACAGCAGCTCTTGATTACGGTTTCCACATACGCGGAGGACTTGCTTCCAAGCAAAACCTCAGAATGTGCATGTGGTTATACATTTCTTGTATTTAAAACAGAGCTGTAGGCAATGTTTTTTCTCATCAGTTAACATGTCAAAGAAACAGTATTTGCTTGCCATTTAAGCAGTATGAAGGAAGGCTTTTCGAAAATGAATTTCAAATGTACAACTAAAATTCACAGAGAAATTCTAATAAATGTTTGGACCTATCCATGGGATTTTTAGGAGTGGCTTCCTTGAGATAAGCATAAGTCTCGCCTATTGTCCACCCGATGAACTATTATACCATTGCAGAAGAAGAACGATAAAAAGCTGACATAAAGAAGGGCAGCATAAATGGTGATAGAAAAGTCATAGGAAATATGATATTTGTGTTATCCCTTTTTCTTAATGTGAGCAAGCTTACATCAGCTCAGCGCGGTGAAATGAGGAGTCCGTTGCAGTGGTTGTGACATCATCATTTGCACTTTTATCAATGTACCAACAAGTCGATTTAAAACCATTTTGCGCTATTTTTACAAATATTTTCTAAATTTGGGGCGTTTTCAACTTCAACTTCTGTTCTTCGGTTGCTTAAACAAAAAAGTAAGCTAATTGTAATAGCTAGTTTAGCACGATTACATGCTTAGTCGATATGTGACTCGAATTGGCACAAGTGTTGCGTGAGTTGACATTTCTATTGATTCTTTTTTTCGTGAAAGCAATCAGTGTTGAGATTCTCCTGACAGTATGTCAGTACATTCTGGCACATCTGGATTTTCCTTGAACCTTGTAATTCATAAAAAATAAAGAATACCATGAAAAAATGGATTGGAACATTCTTGTATTCTGATAAATGTCATGCTCTAACCAGTGATACAGTGGGAGTGTTACACAATGAACACACTCTCACACCCACTTCAACAAAGATAAGACGCCTGAATCACATGTCTTCACAACACACACTGCTATTCTTCCTTCCTAGAAATTATAACTCTGTTGATCAGTAGCTTTAAACTAACCCGTTGGATTATGTAAAAACATGATTATTTTGTCCGCAGGTCACAACATGTCGGTTTAAACACCGACATCCTCCTGCTTTCAGCTCCCTTCACATGAAATGCCACCTTGTTGCCCCACATGCCTGGCCTGTTTATGTTGTGTTAGTTGTGTGTGTGAGTTGTGTGTGGTGTGCAGAGAGTGGTTGGTCAGTGTGTGTGCAGGTCCCATGTGCTTTATTAGCTGTGACTAGCGGGAGAGGGGTGGCTTACATCATCTGTTATGAAGCCTGGACGTGGGGTTCAAACTACGGCAAAACACAGAGTACAATTTACAGCCGTTAATCCCCAATGTTATCATAACATTAACAGCCGTAAAAGTCTCCTTAAACAATCTCAAGTTTCCGAAAAAGGTTCCCTGTCGGCGTGCATGCGTCTAGTTGGATGAGGATTCCCGGAAAAAGACGTTCTGTTTTATAAGATGAGACACAGAGCTGCCAGTAATACTAAACAGGGGGAATAACTGTCTATCGGGGAGAACGTATGCCCTCACACACACACACATACACACACAAAGACAACAGTGTTTGTACCACCTACTCCTGGCTCCAACACTGCCGCTGTAACTGCAACCTTTGGTAAGGAATGAGAGGACTTGAAGAGAGAGTAATATGGAGG